GTCAATTATTAATAACCTGTCAGTATGTGGGAGCAAAATCTTCAGCCCTGTTGAAAATCCATGCAAGCAGGATTTTATTTTGATTGGCACACTTTTCGCAAAAGCTCAGATCATACCATTACTGGAAAGAAGGGTGGGTGGCTGACCGAAGACGGTGAATGTAGTGATACAGGCCAGGTACACAGATCGGAGCCCAGATTTAAATGCTAGCCTGTCCGGGAGGGGGAACGGGCGAAAACATAAAATCTGCATCATCTGGCTGCATTTCATTATTATTTAAGAATAATGACACCCATTTTTATGTTGATCCATTTTTCATTGTGGAGGACAGGAGATTTCAAACTTGTCCAGGTCTTACACTTTGAGTTCTCCCAAGTAGTCGTAAATGACTTAAACTAAGGCTTTTTATGAAAACTAAATACAAATAGTTTCTTTGAATTACATTTACAGTTTAGTTTGTATATAGTTTTATATTCAAAAAAGTGTATTTGAATGGCAGACGTGTGCATGTTTACAGAGCCTTGGCTCAATGTCTAAATGAGTCGTACAGGCCTGAATGTGCACTTGAAGCCATTTGATCTGTTGCTCACCACAAGAGGTTTTTGAGTTTAGTATTTTCAGCTTTACAGCTTTTCCTACAGATTAAAACCTCCCTCCGTTCATACTGCAAAGTAATTAAATGACAGAATTTTTTTTCCATTAAATTTAAACAAAGCAAAACGTGTGGACAATGAGCTTTCAGAACTTTTTCTGTAATTTTATGCATTTATTTTGTGTAATTATAGTCCAAAGATTTCATGCTGACAGATTTTTCTTTGTCACAGCAGCTTTTTTCCCCCCCTCTTTGTTGTCCCGTTTGGATCTTTAGCCATCAGAATTGTTGTCGTAAGACCAAGAAAGATGCCAAGCAGATTTATTTTACCAAGTGGATCATCATGGCCTTGCCATATTGGTCCATTTGATTGACCTTTATTATAATTATGTATTTATTTTATTTTCGGTTGCTACAAACGAGACAGACATGACTGGGGGATAGGACAGGGAGAAAGAATGAAAGAAAGAGGGAGAGAAAGAAAAACGGAGGGGAGAAGAGACGGTGAGAAGGGGGGGAAGAAAGAAAGAAAAACAAAACACCTGGATCACCTGTATGGATAAAAAAAAAACAAGAGAAAAACAAAAAATAGCAACATAAATACAGCACCATCACAATAAACTAGCTAGCAGTAGATAACAGTAGATACTAAAACGATATTGTACAGCACGCACGATAGACAGCGCACAATGTGCTTTGAGGCAGCAGCCAAGAAAGGTGTAGTCCGCGTCTGTGTATACCCGTGTGTACACCCGTGTGTACACCTGTGTGGATCAGCATGCTTGTATTCCAAAGGTTTCTCCATGTAACGATCTGCTAGGGAGTGTGGGGAGCCATAGCCCCGTCCCCCAGGGCATGAAGCAGGTATGGAGGAGATCCAGGCCCCAGACATCCAGAGGCCCCAGAGTACGAGGACCCAAGGAGGACCACTAAAGGGGGGGAACCGTGCCACCCTCCTGGGAAGAGCTGAGTAGAGCCCCAAACAAGAGGTCACCCAGCAGCTACGGAGCAGAAGCCAGAGGGGGTTGCAGTGGCGTGCCTGCCGGCAGCCAGCTGTGCCAGAGAGGACCGAACTTCAGGCCCAGAGGCCTGAGGGCACCCCACCCCCCGGAAGGGGCCCAACAGGCGCCAGGCCCCGCCAATCGGCCACCAGGAGTGAGCCGGTACATACATGAGCACCCAGCCCAGGTCGACAAGAACCACCAAAACACCAACGTCTGAGGGCATCAGCCACCGGCAGGGAGTGTGGTGAGGGGAGATAGGCCTCCGTACTTTGGAGGGCCTGAGATGTACCCAGAGAGGTTGAGTCTAAGACCCAACCTGACATATAGACACAGACAAACAGGCACACGCGGACACAAACGTGCATTCCCACCCCCATATACACAACCAAATACTCGACACTCACCCAACGTGTAGACAGACACAAATAGACACTGCCCAGACAGTCGCTCTCCCCAAACATACTCTATATCCCAGGTCCAGGTACCCCCGCCGCAGAGCGGCAAGCCGCACCTAGACCCAGGCTCCTCCCGAAAACCCTCAGTGTCTATATCCATTTAAAACTGAGGGTAGGGCACCAGCGCCAGAGGTGGGTTGTCAGCAGCAGCTTTTTTTCTGCTATCAAGAAATGCCACCTTACTGTTTAAAAGGAAACCTTTTTTTTTCTTTTCTTTTTTAATGAAAAGAACTTATACACATCATACACACACTTTATAAATACTGATGTTGCCCCTGCATGCATTTTACCTGTGGCCCTCAATCATAAACAGGATTCCAACATTGGTTGTTTTTAACCTGATGACATCTAGAGGCCAAATCCAGGAGTTTTAATAACGCGTGTTGTTGGAGCCTCAACCTCCTAACACTAGTTTGTTAAAATCGCTTTTTCAAACTTGAAATCTGAATGTGGAGAAATGTCAGTACTGGGTTCCTACAGTGTGCCGTAAAACAATGACTCAACAAAATGAGAAACTTCAAACATTTTACTGCAAATGTACAATAAATACAGCAAAAAGCAAAATATTAACAGACTTTAAAACCTGTCTTTCACCGGTGCAGCACCAGTTTAGACCCAGTTCTACTTTCGGTGCCTTTTGGGAACCCGTTCCTACATTTCCACCAGTTTGATAGCAGAATATTTTCACAGCATTTCTAGAGTTTCTAGATGTATTGCAGTCAGAAGACTGAATACAACATGTTCTTATTGTGTTATTTCATTCCGCTCAGAGACAAACAAAACACACCTATGATAAAGTATCTTATACCTGAATGTAAAAACGCAAACTGAATTATTGTAAATGTTAAATCAAGGCATCAGCTTGATGATGAGCAGATTCAAACTGAGCATTCGACCGCAGCCCCAGCTTGAATGGGATTTTTGTGTTGGATGATAAAAATGTGAGACATCCTCAAGACGACACTGCAGTGAACGAGTTCAGAGGTAGAAAACAAGCTGTCGTAAAATCATTGCTTCAGACTTGTTCACACAACAAAAGTATCAACAAATATATACAGATCCCGCCTCTTCTTTCACTGAAAATTCATTTAAATCTTTGCAAACATCAATATTTGCTTTTACTTTGAGTAAACTTTAACACTGCTCATAACTGGAAGGGACACCTGGCATGAACTCGGCTCCTGAATCCAGATTAGTTGTAATATTTTATTTACAACAATAAGTTAAGGCATAGAAGGTTCGACTCCTGGCTTCTCCGGTCTGCATGTCAACGAGGCCTTGGGCAAGATCCTGAACGCCGAGTTGCTCCTGCATCCATCAGTGTTAATGTTAGATAGAAAGCACTTAGACATAGAAAAAGGTGGATGTGGATATGTGTGAACGTGTTGAATAAAGCGCTTTGAGTGCTCAGGAAGAGTAGATAAAAAAAGCATTGAATAAGAACCAGCCCATATACCGAGTTAATGTCTACCAGATTTTTTAAATTTAAACATGAAAAGTATTTGTCGGGCGGTGGAAGGAGTACTTCGAAGACCTCCTTGATCCCACTGACACGTCTTCCGAGGAGGAAGCAGGGTCTGGGAATGATGGGGATGACCCGCCAATTTCTGGGGGCGAGGTCACTGAGGCAGTTAAACAACTCCTTGGTGGCAGAGCCCCTTGTGTGGATGAGGTCCGCCCTGAGTTCCTGAAGGCTCTGGACATTATAGGGCTGTCCTGGTTGACACGCCTCTACAATGTTGCGTGGAGATCAGGGGCAGTACTACTGGACTGGCAGACTGGGGTGGTGGTCCTCATCTTTAAGAAGGGGGATCACACTCCTCAGCCTCCCTGGGAAAGTCTATGCCAGGGTGCTGGAAAGGAGAGTTCGTCTGCTAGTCGAACCTCAGATACAGGAGGAACAATGCGGTTTTCGTCCCAGTCGCGGAACACTGGACCAGCTCTTCATCCTTTCAAGGATACTTGAGGGTGCATGGGAGTTTGCCCAACCAGTCTACATGTGTTTTTTGGACTTGGAGAAGGCATTCGACCGTGTCCCTCGGGGTGTCCTGTGGGAGGTGCTGCGGGAGTATGGGGTGTCTGGCTCATTGCTACGGGCCATTCGATCCCTGTACAACCGTTGCAAGAGCTTGGTTCACATTGCTGGCAATAAGTCGGACTCGTTCCAGGGCGGATGATGCCCATATGGAAAAGAAATAGAAAAAAACTTATAAAAGACTTGCATAAGATGTGGCCTACTTCATATAGTGAATCATATAAGGCTTATATGATTTACTCATGAAAGTGGCCACCTTCAGATATTATTTTAGTAAGTATCCAAAACATACAAGTTTCATTTATATAATTTTTCAAGGGATCTTATATCTGTTTTCACTCTTGTATGCTTTTCATACAAGTTTCACACAAGACAGATACAAACTTTATAAGATTTATATATATCTTTTCCATATGGGTGGGCTCCGATTCTGTTCATAATTTTTATGGACGGGATTTCAAGGCGCAGCCATGTGGCGGAGGGCTTTCACTTCGATGGCCTCAGAATCTCATCTCTGCTTTTTGCGGATGATGTGGTTCTGTTGGCTTCATTGAGTGATGGCCTCCAGCTCCCACTGGAACGGTTCGCAGCCGTGTGTGAAGCAGCGGGAATGATGATGGATGGATGGAAGTATTTGTGAAGCTGTGACTCAACATGTCAATTTTTTTCCAATTTCAAAGAATCCTTCCAAAAGTTGCTGAATCCAACACTTTAGTCACTTCTAAGCTGGAATGATCCCCACTTCACATAAAACCATCATGCAGATCCATCATTTCCTTTGGAGTATTCCTGCTAAAGAAACTGAAAAAAGTCACACAAGCTACTTGGTGGAGGTCATCTCTTTTTAAATAAAATAAACAGAAATTATATATTAAAAAAATACATCCACAAAATAAAGCAAATCGTCAAAAAAAACCCAAAAAAACATTAATCAAATACAAATTAAAGTTCTGGCTTGAAATTAAAAACAGTGTTTCCTGAGCTTTAAAGACCTACAAACATCCCAATCTGCTGCATGAAAAGAAGTGAGGTGAAAAGCATTTAAAGGTTAACCTCGAGTAAACTTGTAGCATCGTTATTCAATCCAGAGTAGGAACCAACTTCCTCTCATCACAGGATGATGGTGGGGTTTAGACATTTTTGTCTTTCAGTGTCTTTCAGACTTCATAACGTTACTGTACAGCAGTGTTGGGCAGCTCTAAAATCTCAGACACTATCCCGTCTGGGCTTGTGGCACCCTCCGCTTCCTGGTTGTGCTGAAGGATATCTTGCAGCAGGATGGTGTTGGAGAGTCTCCACTCCCTGTACATGAGCGCTGTGAGATTTGGTTCATTCAGGATCTTCTCCAAAGCCAGCAGCTCGGACTCTTTAGCCTGAAAAACACGAGTGTTAGAAACATGCAGTGATCCTCCATCAGGCATCAGCTCATGGAGGAATCCAAACAGGGTGTAGATTACTCTAATGTTTAGTGTAGGGTGTCCCCAAAAGCGGGTCAGTTCCCATTAACTCCCTTATTAAAATGTCCAGTTTTACAGAAGAAAAGACCTGCTACAAGAAAACAGCTCAGGTCGGGAGCGATAGTTTGGAGATATTATTGTTAATAAAGTCAGAGGCAGTCACAGAAGTAGTCTCCTTAAATAAAAATCTAGGGATTTATTAGATAGTCAGTCTGCATGTCAACATCGATTGACCCTGTATTATGCAGGACAGCTAGCATTAGCTGATAGCTTAGCAATTCAACATTGCAGTTGGCCATTGATCAAAGACCACTGATCAATGGCCACGAGTACCATTAATTATTGATCACCAACCAAACTAAGTTAACAATAAAGGATCTTGAACACCCTCTGCACCACTTACCACACATGTAGCCGAAGACTAACATCTGTTACAGCTCTGCTGCTTCAAGGACAGGTGCAGACAATCCTTACCACCATGATACCTGGATTCATTTTCAAGAATAGCTCCTTACTGTATCATATTCGTATGTGTATATGTGTATTTCTATGTAATTAACTGGTGTTACACAGTAATTTTTTCCAAATTTTGGGATAAATAAAGAATTTATTGTTTGATATTATCTAAGTATGTGGTTTAGCTTCTTATACTGGCTGTAAACATGATAATTTCGACTGTAAAATTGGACACTTTAACACGTCTTTTAGGATTGACTCACTTTTGGAGCCAGGCTGAAGCAGCCATTAGAGGAATCAACACGCTGTTTGGATTCCTCCATCAGCTGATGAATGATGGCCCTTTGACATTTCAGCCCCAGGGTCTGCTGCTTGATAACAGCACGTGTAACTGAGTACCCTAACCCTTTCATTTTTTTTTGGCATTTAGTTAAAGACAAAAGTTCAGACTCACCTTTAATGTGCTTTTGAGTATCCGGACCAGGTGAACCTTTTCGTTGACTTTTTCATTCTTACATCGCCGGATAAATGAGGCCCTGAAGTCCCTCTGAAATGTCTGTCCAGTTGGATTGACGCTGGCTGCTTTCAGATGGTTGTAGAGGCTCTCCATCTCATCTGGCGTTTTTTCTGGAAACAGGAAAAAAATCAGTAAGGTTAAGTAGCAGGAGACGACATGATAACCACGTGTAGCTGCAGGTGTTTACCCTGGACTGTGTCCTCCTCTTTTTCCTCTCTAACATGAATTAGAGGAGGAGTCTGTGTTCCGCTGGTTTCATCCTGCTTGGGGAGGTCCAGCCAGGACAGACGACCGCTGCCCTCAGAAACTGGTCTTTGTCTTCGGTTTTTGCTCATAGAGCTTCCAGCCGAGCTGGTTCTGCTTCTGCTTTCAGTGATTATTGATGAGACGGTGGGGAGTGAGGTGCAGGATAAAGACTCCCAGGGTGGCTGAAGACGGTTTCCCTGTGAAAAGGGCAGAAAGTGTTTCAGAATATGTGTTTTCAGTCATTTTAAATTTAAGATTAACCCTTGATTAACCCCTATCCCAGTGAGAGATACAACCTGGACAAGTTGTCAGTCTGTCACAGGACTAACACAGAGGGGAAAAAACAGTTCACACTCACAGGCATGCTAGAACAACCAATCAACCTGACCCCATACACGTCTTTGGAATATGGTAGGAAACTGGAAAAAACCCACTCAGGAATCAGGAGAACATACCTATCAAATGTTTAAACTGAGCAAGTGTACCATTTTAAATAAAAATATGATATCTCTTTTTATCCCTTTTTGAATCTTCTTTTCAAATGTTCTGGCAGGAAAACATGTCAAAATAGTCTCACAGAGGACTCTAGCTGCTCAGCAACTCTGAATCTTCCCTGTTGTATTTTTGGTTTCATGATGCTCATGAGTTTCGTTGACCTACTAATGATCATGTGCCAAGGTATGAAAAAGGATGTGGGTCTTTATCAGGACATGTGTGCGCCATGACCTCCCCAGTGTTACCCATTCTAGCCAACCTTTGTATGGAGGAAGTGGAAGTGGCTAGGTGGAACAGGAAAGGAACATCACCTAGCCTCTGGTACAGATACGTGGATGACACCAATTGTTCACGTGAATCATTGTTCAGGTCAACTCAGTGATATAACAAAGGATAATAATAATTTGCTGTTTCTGGACTGTGCTGTGCACATTGAGGAGAATGGAAACCTCAACATTGAAGTTTACCGGAGGCCCATGCACACAGACCATTAAATAATCCTATGCTGACACTACCATCTGGAAGAAACTTAGAGTAATCAGGACCCTCCAACAGCGGGCAGAAACTGTTCCCTCCAAGGCATCAGGGAAACAAAAGGAGCACACAAATGTAAAGGTTATGCCAGCTTTCATCAAATCAGCAAAGATGTACAGTAAAGACTTAAAAAAACTCAAAGAAGTCACTTTTCTTGCCAAGATCCTGAGATTATCTGAAATCAGTGTGCTGGAATAATTAAGTGAAGTTCGAGCTGGGATTCTGTGAGGGTTGGAGGAATTATTAAAGGAAGAGAATTACAATGAATGCAAGGTTGGTGAAGAAGGACTTGTTTTGGTTCTTAGAGAGGTAGAGCCAATCATGTATCATTCACTGCTGCCACTGTTAACTTTGAGTTAATTGGGCTGCTCCAACTTTGTGAATAGGAAATCCAAATTGAGGGGGAATTCCAGATGAAGATCTGAATCTGGAACAAGGCCTAGGAGCTGGGTACTCAGCTTTTAGTGCCCCAATACACCCACCAGCACAGGTTGCTTCAAATACTGATGGTGCTATAGCCACAGCTACGTGCCATTTAAACCAGCATTTACAGCGTGCGTACCCACCACAGTGTCTTTCTGAACAATAGGTTTTCCCATTCAGTCAAAAGTTTCACATCAGCGCTGTTACAGGAAGTAAAAACTGAACGCAAACTAATCACAGAGTTTGAGGTTTTTTGTTTTCAGAAAGGGTTGGGGTTAGAAAACCGACACAGTCTCACACAAAATTGAGAAATGCACCACTGGCTGAAACAACACCAAAACAACAGCTTGTGCCGGCGGACGTGACATCACAGGTTATAGCTTCTTTGGCCTCATCATGCACAGAGTGCAGCTTGTATTAATGTTATTGATCAGTGTAGATAAAGATGGGCATCGTGATGACACCCCAAACTAATGCCAAGGTATTTCAGAAACTGGTGTTACCAACTATGGTTTCAAATCGATCAATCAAAATCAATACAACAGCCTGAACAAACTTTGCCAGAGTTTTCGTCAGTGGTCATTTGTGGTACTGCAGCTAAAAATGCTGCAGCCCAAAGACCATTTGTTCCCAAATGTATTACCCCATCTACAGTATGGCTAGTGCCTATTTTACTTTTACATTAAGCTCTCTTCTATGGACTTCATGCATTTACTTACATTTTGGGTGGCCACTGAATCCAGCTGAGAGTCAAGAGAAGAAAACGACAAGTCTTCTTCATCCTGATCACTCCCCTCACTGTAGCGCTCTGCACACACATGCATAAATAGAGACAATGTAAAGAAAGCAGCAAAGCAGAAAATAAATAGATGATGTGTGAAGGAAACTAGAGGACCAACAGATCAGTGAAAGAGATAACATGAGACAAGAAATGGGAAGACACATGTGAAGATGTGATGAAAATCAGAGTGAAAGAATGATAGAAAAAACAAAAAAGAAGGAAAAACTGAGAAAGGGTAAATGGGAAAAAAGGAATGAAAACTGGAAAGGAAGATGTAGCAATGGGAAAGGGAGAGGAAGTGTGTCAAGGAAAAAATATATGAAAAAGGGAAAAATACCACCTTCCTTTAAAGGGACAGGAATGAGCAAAGAAATTTTAGAAAACCAAATTTGTGAAGATGGAAAGGAAAGCTGGGATAATCAAAGAAAAGAAGAGGGTGCAGTGTGTGAAATGTTAGTTGTAAGAGAGATACATTAGTGGGAAGTAACTGTGGTCAGACGTTTACAGACACTCATCGTGAGTATGTCATGGTATTTTTTGGCATTAATGATTTCTCTGCACAGTTCTTCATCCACAGTGGAAGGATTGCACAGCACACATCTCTAATGACTCTGAAAAAACTGGACTTTTGAGCTTTTGAGTGTATCCACATATTTTCATTAGGGCTGAGGTCAGGCCTTCGGGAAGGCCATTCTAAAAGCTTAATGTTAATTTGATTTAATCAGTTTTAATGTTTTTGGGATCATTGTCCCACAGGAGAACCCAAATGTGTCAGTTTCAACAAGTTTCAAATGTAGAGTTGAGGCAATGTTGAAGAATTTGCAGGTAGTCCTTCTTCTTTACTTTTTGTGGTTGACAGGGGTCAGCATGGGCACCCTGACTGGTCTGTAACTATGCAGACCATGCGTGTTCTGACACCTTTCTATCAGAACCAACATAAACTTTTTCAGGAATTTAAGCTACAACGTCTTGTTTGCTGGATTGGCCACACAGGCCAGCCTTTGCTGCCTACGTGCATCAGTTAGCCTTGGCCCCCCGTGACCCTGTCACTGGTCCACCACCGTTCCCTCCTTGGAACCCTTTTGACAGATACTGACCCCTGCAGACTAGAAGCACCACACAAGTGCTGCAGGTTTGTAGATGCTCTGTCCCAGACGTCTGGCTATGACAGTTTGGCCCGTGTTGTTCAAATCTTTATGTTTGCCAGTTTCTGAGAACAAAATGTTCACCCTAATGTGCCTCACCCACTAACAGTTGCCACCATGATGATCAGTGTTATTCATGTCGCCTGTCAGTGGTCATAATGTTACGTTTGATTTAAAGAGTTCAAAGAAATTATTAAAAGCCAGAGTTACCCTGACAGTCATGCTCATGAGTGTGTGAAACTTCAGACTGCAGCTGTGTCACCATCATCATTTTGGTAGATTCTTATTTTTAATCCTCTCACCTTCACTGTTGATTGCCTCATCTAGTTCAGCTGCTTCTGTCAGTTTACTGATCCACCTGGACACACACACACACACACACACACACACACTGCATTAAACTCTACAAATGACACACAACATGCAACATACTACACGGTGTACTGCAATGAATCAATAAAAAGAAACATGACATTAAAAGGATGGGAGGAGGAAATGACTGTACTTTCTGACACAGAATAGTGATACTTATTAGTTCAGAGCAAAGTTTCTCAGCCACCACTGGCTGAAGTGCAAATGTCACTAATTCTAGGCTTCACTCTTTTCTATAAGACTAAGCCACTAAAGTCAGGAGAGGACATTCTGAGACAAGCATGTCTGCAAAATCTCAACAGTTTCTGCCTTATGTGGATCAGTTTGAAAAGTTATAATGACATTTTTCTGCTGGTATAAACCCTCAAAGTGGGCCTAAGATGCTGATTTCCAGCATCACATGCATTACTAGACTGAACTGACCCCCTTTAAGCCAACCTCTGATTGGCTGCTCCATGTGTAAGGTTTAAACAGTAGATGGGAGGGGCATCTCTATCCAAATCTCTATAACATCATTCAGCACCAAGTGTATAAAAACTGTCAAAAGTCATATTTTATAGAAGAATTCATTCCTGTAAGTGTACGCAGTCAATGACAGGAAATAAAGAGAAGCAGTATCAGTCAACTCAATGACATATGATAAAATAATAACAATGGGTTAAAAGTACTCACTTATTCATTTCTATGTAGCTCTCAGCACCAATAGTAATAGTCACTACATTAGGATGACTGGCTGTTATGACACTGAAACACAACACAGAGCAAAGTAATGGTAAATTCAATGCACTATATAAAGCAGTTGGTGAAGATGTGGAAAACAAATGCCTTGCAGCGGATCTCTCACCACTGAGACATTTTTTTAAGATGCTTTAGCAACAGAGAGTGTACAAACAGCAAAAAGTCTTGTGGTTTAAGAGGGGAAAATTTAAAAAAACAAAACATGTCATACTATTTCTTCCTGGAGGTTTTGGCCTGTTCGATGGTAAAGCCTGACAGGTTGATGAATCCATCAGCTTTCTCAGCCTGCAGAGAGGAGCAAAAAGAGCTCAGAAAACCTGATGAGAAACACTTTAATGCAGTGAAGTCTGCAGAAAACAATGTGTCTGTATCTCAGGTTCCTGTGTGATCTCAGCAAAGTGTCAGTGGTCAGAGCCAGAGGATGCACATCGCTGTGGACTGTGCTCTATCTGTCTGTTTGGTTGCAGTTTGACCTACTTCGTGTCTTAGTGTGGTTTGACTATATGCTTATTTAAATTTACAGCTTCACAGAGATAAAGGGATTTACATATGATTCTTAACATATAAGAGATGTTTCTATTTAAACACATTTATATGGAATATTAATGTATTTGTATCAAAGTAGAAACTTAAAAAATTTCAAAACCACGTAATTTAGTTATTTATTTTTCTAAAAGATGTCATGTGTGTCACACACAGGCAGCACTTCTTCTAAGGCTCACTTCAACAGTGAGTCAGGCCCCACAGACTCCCATGTTAAAACCTGCTTCAACAACAGTTTGGACTTCAACTGCAAAGGTTATTTTCATGTATAACTCAGCCACTTAAAATCTATTTAGAGCTCCCCTCCACTTTAAACTAGATATCTTGGGCATGTTCGTGGCTTTAGGAGCAACTTTCATGCAATTGTCTGACACATCATATCCGAAAGTTTCACGAGGTCACTGTGTGTACAGGTAAACATTGTGAGCTTCAGCACTCAGATATTTAGGTCTACTTTTTATCTCTGCGTGATGTCACAGAGTTAGGTACCCATAATATGGTCAACTCAGACACCAAAAGCCCCACCCAACTTCTATTTAAACTTTTAAGAGGGGCAACCAATCAGAATCAAGCTAGCTTCAAGGTAGGGTGGGCAGCTCAAATAAGGATAGAGGATCAAATGAGGAGTATAAGATAAAGAAGGATTATTTTGAACTATGAATCATGCAAAGCCACTCTAATAGAGTCCAAGATTAAGAATACAGTGCTCATTCAAGTTTTGCAAAGTCTCCGCAAACCGGGAACAGATTTTCTGATGCTAATCGCACATGTCAGACCTGAATTCTACTGCACGTTGTTTGAGCTGTAGGGCTTAACTGTGAGATAACTGTGGCTCACCATCTCGTTACTGTACCAGTACAGAGAGCTCCTCTGCAGGACAAACCAGTATTTCTTCCATCTGCTTCCCAGGAAGCTACGGCTCTCCTTCTTCCGGTGCAGCCATCCCTGACAGTCCACCGCTCCCAGGTCTTTGACCGAAACCCGACGCCGACTCATGGCTGCAGACTCTGCAGGAGAAGGAGGAAGGCAGGTTACAGGTTCAGATCTTCAGATCAGAGGGAGGAGCCATCCAACAATGATGCTCCTTAGGGGCCTCACATGTACTCAGACAACTGGACAACTATTTTTACTAATTTCAGACCTGCTTACTTTATTGGATTTATTGAGTTATTTCTTCAGCTATAAGACCTGAGACACTTTAATGTACAATATTTAACTTATTCACCTGTATTTATTTTACCTCTATTGTTGACTTTTATTTTATTGTATATCCATTTTTATTTATTCAGCTCCTTATTAAATTATACATTTATCTTTTTAGACAGATTTTCATTGTCTGTTCTTCTTGCAGTTTATCTTCCTGTATTTCCATTTTTAATTTACTTTTAACATTATTTTATTGATTGAAACTTATTTTAGTTTTACTTAACAAGCAGTTAAGTAAATTTGTACATTTGTGTCACGTTTGTCAAATGCCCCACGCTGCCTGCAGCTGTGAGCAGCAGGCTGAAACCCACAGAGCCTCGGTGCAGTGGTCATCCTATGTTCAGCCACTTTTGGTTTCCTGATTTGGTATTTATGAGTTTTCAAACAGACTCCTGATCTTCTCTGTAGACCTCAGTGTGTCCTAAAAATACAAAGGCCTGGGTAGTGCAAATGTTTTTAAATCATGCTGTCCTAATTCCACTGTTTACCGGTTTATCTGCACACTCTGATGTTCGGTTTTGGCACTAATTTTAGAATAAACAACATCATTGAGCTGCTTTTCTGTCTCTTTTGATCAACTCATACAGATGAGACTGTTTCATTCTTTCTTTGTTGAGTCTGCCCTTTCATTTTCTATAAAAACAAGTTTCAGGAAGTCTTGACAGATAATTTGTGGTATTCTAATAACAATAGAGAACAAGCAAGGCACTCTGTCATAAGATAAAACTTTTTTTACTTTTATTAGGATCAGTGATGACTTAGAATTGATGCATGTTGATAGTTTTCTGCCAAACTGCTTGAAGAATCATCTCAAAACATAGTTTTACCTGTAGACACAATGCTTGAGCTGTTATGCTTGCAAGGTTTGGGTTTTGTTGTTGGACTTCTACCCACCCCACTGAAGAGCATCTGTCACAAAAGCCATGAGAGCAACGTTTTCTTCCTTTTTTGGTTTTGTAAACTTTCATTTTTTTATTTGTTGGTTTCAAAACAAACTAGAAAAAAAGTCGACCTGTGCAATGCGATCAGAGGTGCCACCATGATAACCTTCAGTATATCTGAAATTTGGACCATCTCAAAGGTGCAGAGTGCCATTGTGGACCCTTACCATCCTTGGGGTTTGCTTGTTTAACCCGCTCAAAGGTGGCACTAATAGAGTCATTTTTCTGTGTTTGTCTGACCCTTTTTGTATATTTATACTGACAGAGTGGGGTATTTAGTGTGTTTCATATGCTGCATTATCTGCATGGCAAGTTTCCCAACTGCGACATTTTACTCTGTAACATCTGTGATATAATCTTAACTCTCATATTACTAACATTAATGCTCTGCAATTCTATCAGCACAGAAAGTTAACACCCAAAGTCAACCTACCAAAGAAATGCACGACTCATACGCTTATGTGGTTACAATAGAGAACAAAAAAAACATATGAACCAAACAAAAATAGGAACTAATGCTGCTCTCTTCTCACTCAAAGTGAAGTTTGGCCCCTGTTGCCCCAGTGGGCAAAGGTTTTCAATTTTGTCTATGTTTTGAATAAATTCTCTCTCTTTTCTATCCAAAATTTATGTCACTACCAGGTGTAAGTCTTCATCAGTATTATCCCTAACCCTGGGATAAGCTCGGACGTCGCCCGGTTCAACAAGGTCAGGTGTTGAGGAACCAGGGCACCCTGACGAGAAGTGGGCTACTGGAACAAGAAGGCATCAGTGGGCAAGAGACGAAAACAGGGCGTTGTTGGAATGCTACTATGCAAGTAAGCCCCAAGTGCAATAGGAGAAGGATCGTTGAGTGCGAGAGGAACTGGCCAAGCTTGAGACCTGGATCCCCCGTAGCCAGTTACCAAGATTAAGTGAAGTACCCTCAGAAGGTCTGCTAGATGATGTTAATGGATACAGGAATGCTTAGAATTGTACAAGATCAACAGGACCCTAAGAGCCTTCATCAGGAACTCAATGGGTATGTGGTGTACAACACTAGAGGCCAACTCCAAGCCCATAGCATAAGTCACCATCAAGTGCGGGATCTACCAAGGAGATGCTCTGTCCCCACTGCTGTTCTGCATAGGCCTGAACCAGTGAGATACCGACTACGGAATGGAGCAGTTGTCAGCCACCTCCTGTACATGGATGACATCAAGCTGTATGCGAATCTATGCAAGTGAACGAGACATCGATTCACTGATCCACACTACCAGGATATACAGCAATGACATTCGGGCTGGAGAAGTGTAGTCGGATGATAACAAAGAGAGGGAAGTCAGAACTGAGGGGATCGAGCTACCAGAAGGCAACATTGCAGACATAGATCCCGCAGGCGAATGGGAACCATGAAGAGCCTGCTAGGAAAGCTGCAACCACCAAGTACCTGCAGAGGGTCAGGCAAGTCCTGAGGAGTCAGCTGAACAGTAAGAACAAGATCCAGGCTATCAACACCCACGCCCTGCCCGTGATCAGGTACCCAGCTGGTATAATAAGTTGGCCAAAGGAGGAGATAGAAGCTACTGACATAAAGACAAGAAAGCTCCTTACCATGCATGGCATGGCAGCAGAAACCCAAGAAAGAGGAGGGAGACGAGGAAGGACAGGCCCCTGCACGGTATGTACCACCGGCAGATAGAGGAGGTGGCTGACATCCAGAAATCCTACCAGTGACTGGACAAAGCTGAACTGAAAGACAGCACAGAGGCACTAATCATGGCAGCACAAGAACAAGCTCCGAGTACAAGATCCATAGAGGCTGGGGTCTATCACACCAGGCAAGACCCCAGGTGCAGGCTGTGTAAAGATGCCCCAGAGACAATCCATCACATAACAGCAGGGTGCAAGATGCTAGCAGGCAAGGCATACATGGAACGCCATAACCAAGTGGCCGGCATAGTGTACAGGAACATCTGTGCCGAGTATAACCTGGAAGTCCCGAGGTCAAAATGGGAGATGCCCCCAAGGGTGGTGGAGAATGACCGAGCTACGATCCTGTGGGACTTCCAGATACAGACGGACAAAATGGTGGTGGCTAACCAACCGGACATAGTGGTGGTAGACAAACAGAAGAAGACGGCCGTAGTGATCGATGTAGCGGTTCTGAATGACAGCAATATCAGGAAGAAGGAACATGAGAAGCTGGAGAAATACCAAGGGCTCAGAGAAGAGCTCGAGAGGATGTGGAGGGTGAAGGTAACGGTGGTCCCCGTGGTAATCGGAGCACTAGGTGCGGTGACTCCCAAGCTAGGCGAGTGGCTCCAGCAGATCCCGGGAATAACATCGGAGATCTCTGTCCAGAAGAGCGCAGTCCTGGGAACAGCTAAGATACTGCGCAGGACCCTCAAGCTCCCAGGCCTCTGGTAGAGGACCCGAGCTTGAAGGATATATATATATATATATATTTACATTACCACAGTGAGATGACTTTAGTCTCATGAACAACATTAGCTAATTGTTATTTACTAAGTAATCTTGAAATGACTGTTCAGTACAGGAATGAAGCCCAACAATCATGTTTTATAGTCCCGTGGTTTCAGCCTCAGATACTCAACTAATCAAAGTGATGTCATGACAAAAATGAATGACCAACAAAACATTTTTTCTCCTTCATTTCTGTCAAACAAAGCTGTATGTAACGTTTCTCGCAGTTAGTATCATGGTTGCTTCACTTCCGCACTGCTCGTACTTATAGTACGCACCGTATGTACGTATGTGTAGTGTGCATACTTCAAGCGTGCAGACCCTGAATTGGGACACAGCCACAGCCAGGCTACAGAGGAAGTGACAGGTAGGTGAGACAGGTAAGAGAGGAGAGCTATGCTGGAGTAATAAAGGCATGAAGACCATGAACGTGAGCATTAAATAGTTTTTTTTTCTTGAATAGGGTAACCATATATTCAATGTAAAATGAAAAACAAACAAACAAACAAAAACAACAAGTCCCAGGTAATCCACCCACACTAATCCCAAACCTTGATTCCGGACAGATATGCATGACGGGTATTTACACACCAGTTTTACCAGCATTAAAAGCTCACTTCAAGTAAACCTACTAAAGGAATACATGACTCATGAACTTATGTGGTTATAGAAGAGAACAGATGAGTATATGTACCAAACAAAAATAGGAACAAAAATAGGAACTTAAGTTAAGTTGTGGTAAAAGAGCAGCTTAACTCAACAGTCAAGTAACGCATCTAAACAAAATGTTAAGCCTGACCCAAGAAAGCCATTCTACCTAATTTAGCATTTAGCAACGACAAGGAAAGGTGGTTTCAACAATGGCCCAAACACTAACATGGTGTGAATATCCGGGATGATCCCCCATTCATCTTAAATGTGCGCACGGTATGTGGCAAGAAGCTTTGCTTAAGTACAAAATTAGGTATTTACCCAAAACTAGCAAAACACAAACAGCAAAGAAGACTGCTGCCAGACAGGATGGAAGAGAGACCTGCAGCAGCTGACAACATTCTCATGTCAGCTGTCTGATGTCAGATACACTCACACAAACAGAAAGGAAGAGGAAATGAAGTTATGTATTCATTTATATCACAGTGTGGAAGTTGGTTTAATGAATATTAACACATTCACACAAATAGGATAGGGCAGGGAGGGGCATCACAGTTCTGCACTGTTCTGTATAAGTTATTGGGGAAACTTCAGGTTTAACCTTTCACTTCTAACGGGGGTGGTAATTTATGCGTCATAGTAGTATGCAGAAGTCTCCATGTACTGTCCAGTCACTTCTGTGTAAATTATGTAAATTCAGTTGTTAGTGTGCAGGTATAGGAGAGTCTGTAGGTTTTAGAGACAGTCTGATGTCTTTGAAGTCTTTGCCTTTCCTTAATTAGCAAGCATAATTTACAGGAAACACTGATTTTCTGTGTGCGTGTTTCCTGTAAGATTAAAAAGATTTTTTGTGTTAAGCATGCCTTAAATCATGGTTGCTACAGCAAGACATTTTATAATTGCTGACTTTGCAAGTAGGCTAAGCGGACTTCCTGGTCCGAGTTCTGTTTTGATATTTAAACTTCACTTGTCCTCAGCCTTTACACTGCGTTTCATCTCTGTGAAGATAAGGCAAAGATATCCTGGACATGCTGATCATGAATATGTTGATACCAAAGTTGAGTATACAACATCTCTGTGGGTGTCATGTTCCACTGTTTAGTAGGTGGTATACATGTGTGCTATACGCTCAGGTTGCTGGGGGACTTCCCATGATGCACTGTGCACTTCTTTTCCACTCCACATGCATTTATAGCTGAACATGTATTAATATTTACATTGAATTATTTATCCTGTTTTTTGGTCTTTTTTCCCATCGTTTTGCAACCAGTCACAGCATGGCCGCCCATTCCTGAGCCTGATTCTGTTGGAGGTCTCTTCTTCCCCACCATCACCAAGTGCTTACCTTACTTTACCTTACAATATAAAAGAGTTTCATGGGATGCTGTATAAATGCAACTGCACTGAATCACAAGTTTCTGGTAGGAAAATGTATGAACGCATACCTGTAAAGATCACGTGGTGTAATTGTGAGGTCCAAAACAGCTAAAAATAATATATGATATAATGAAATTTGATTTCTTTGTCTGTTTTTTAACACTTTACCTTGCACTTTAGAGGTTTACAGTATTAGAGATATTGCATGATGCTGCATATTTCATCTGTTAGCGGTTCCTTTTTTTGTTTTTCCTGTGTACTCTAAAACCAGTTTACCTCGGTCACCAAAAAAAACAAAAAACCCTCTACAGACTCACCGCTAATTGTATGAGACTGGGCAGATGTTTGTGGTCTCGTTAGTCTTAACTTTACATGTCTCTGTCTAGCTAAGGTTTCTGTACACGCGCCAAATGAAACAGAGGGGGGACTGAAGCAAGAAACTTTGCCGAAACAAGCGCCCTTACCTGCAGTCTGGGTGTCCGGCAGTGTAATGCGTTTCCTGCAGACAGACGCGCAGCACAGGAGGAACTGAAGTGTGCTCCGCTTGTGAGAAGTTATGTTAACACATCAGCAGACCACAAAGTCACAAAATCACACTCACGCTCTACATAAACGCACCACTCAGACTCCACAGCGTCCTTCCTGTTTCGGTGCTCTTCGTGATCTTTATGCCCTCGTCTGTTTCTCAGAAACTTCCCGTTTGCTCTGTAGAAAATAAAACTTATTTTCAGGAAATTAAGCAAATTTATGCAGTGCTGTTTAGTTACAGTGGAGACATCCGACTTCAGTATCTCACACCATTTCCCTCTTACAGTCAAATCAAAGAGACACATGTCATTGACATTCAGCCTTCTTGTAGCAGAAAATAAAACTTCAAGGCCGCCTTATTGCCAACTATAGTGGGGTGAAATGTGTTCATGCACCAGTCTGCATATTTTAGCTCTAAACATTTGTTTGCTACAACTTTCCTGAGCATCCACTCAAATATTACAGAAGAAAATGTGGACTATTCTAAAGATACACCTGAGTCTGTCTATTACACAGCTGCAGAGCTGAATGAGAGTTTAATAGTAGGCATAAGTTCAAACTGCAGTTCACCACAGGGTCCACGAGATGGAGCTGTTAGTCTTTGACAGCTTCATATGTGCCCTTTAAGATTATTACCTGAGGGACTAGCTCATTTAGAACCAGATAATGAACAGCTTACACTTTGCTTCATTGACACTGATGTTGTAACACAGCAAAGCCCGATTCAAACAACAGAATTCACTAATTATTTATAAAAAATAAAATAAAAAACACCAGAAAAGCTAAAGTTTGATTTAGCATTTAAACAGATTAAAGTGGACCTGTTATTGCCTTTTCTTGTTTTCTGTCATATATCTACTCTTAAAATGGTGGATGTTCATATTAAAATCGGACAAAATAAATAAATCAGTGAATGTGCAAGTTTTCTGTGAGCTCAGATGGGTGTCAGACAGTTTTTTTCTTGAGTCAGTGGGAGGAGATATTCCTAACATGGTCATCTCAGTTTTTCTTATGAAGGTTTATCTGCAGCTATAACACAACTCCAAAAAGCTACAACATTGTGTTAAATGTAAATAAAAAACAAAATGCAATGATTTTTCAAATCTCATGAGCCAATATTTTGTTCCCAGTGGAACATAAAAATCTATCAAATATTTAAATAATATCCTGTTAGCCCTGTGAGAGACTGGCAACTGTCCAGAGTATGCCCCGCCTCTTGCTCACTGGTAGCTGGAACAGGCTCCAGCCTCCCCCGGAGCCTGACAAATACATTATCATATTCCATGAAAACTACGAGCTGCAAAAAAGATGCATCTTTAATTTCAGAATAAGGTTCCTCAATGAAAAACTGACCTTCTCATAATCTACACTACATGATATCATGAAAAGATTCAGAGAATCTGGAGAAATTTCCGTGTGCAAAGAACAAGGATGAAAGTAACTATTGGATGCCAGTGACCTTCATGCCCTCAGGCATCACTGCATTAAAAAAATACAAATCTGTCATGGAAATTGGTGCATGGGCTCAGGAACGCCTGCAGAAATGCAGGTTAACCCTGTAACAGCAGGGGTATCATAACTGATACATGAGGTTTGGGGAGTTTATGAAACTTCTATATCATCAATATTAAACAGAATCTAGGACAGGACATAAACAGCATGGGTTAAATGGTTTTGTCATTTGTTAGTATTTAAATTATCTGCAGTCACCAAATTAAAATGCTTCTTCTAAAATATATATTCAAATGTTTTATCTCATATGACTGTCAGGTACTAATAGAATATCAGTGCTCCTCACATTTTTGAGAACCAAGGACCCTACTGACCCTCTGCACTCAAATTCATTTTTTTATGTTTTTGTAGCTTAATACTTATCATTATAATCCAGCTGCTAATTTAACATTAAAAAATATATAAATTATAAGCTTTGCTATAACTTCCAAAAAATAAAAATATTGAACGCAAAGTTTCAAAATAAATTGCACTTTATTTTTCCAAAGCATTACAGAGGCAACAAAACACAGAGCTCTGAAGAGGGACCGTTTGTGCTTAATCAGACAGAGCAAAATCAGATTATGATGCATGAAGTTTGACAAAAGGACAACTTTACAAACCAGCTTCACTTTAGATCATCAAGAAACAAGTGAACTTCAACACTTTAACTTTGCTAAACAGCTGTTGCCAAAAGTGGCCATTAGAGGAAAATAAATAAATGTATACCCCTTATTCACTTCAGCTGATTTAAAAGGGATCAGTTCCGCCCATTTCCACTTCCAGGTTTTCATTTTTCACCACTGGGCCTTCCTGCACCTCATCCTCCCTCTGAAACAAGGCATTTTAACTCCTCCGTCTTTATGGCTACTATACATTTAGATCAATTCTGCAACACCCCACTTCAAACACAGCATTACAGTTGGCACCTCACGTGCTCTACAACTTATTTATATATTTACAGAAGCATGAAAAAAAATCCTATTAATTTTTCTGCAAAAATAAAGGATGGTGTCAAACTTCTATTTTCTCTACAAAACTCATTTACCTCACTCAACTACGCCCTACATTTTTTACTTATGTCATGGACTCTGGGTTTTGTGCCTGAGCTTTTACTTTGTATTGATATTTGGACTCTTCTTTTTTATAGTTTTGGTTCATTTCTAGTCAAGTTTGGATTCTGATGTTATGGTGTTGGTTGAGTTTTGTAATCTTTGTAATCTTTATGTATCAGATTTTTTCTGGATTTTCTGGGTTCTTAGTTTTTGTTATGTGTTTGTGATTTGATTTGGAGTTTATATTTAATTCACCGAGTTTCAGTTTATGGTGGCGGGTGTGGTTCTGAGCCTAACATGACCATGTTCGTGTTATCACCTCTCAGTATACATAATATAAACATCCACAATTGGAACAGAAGACTTGGAAGAAAAGGAAAAGAGAAGCGGGTCTTCTTTAATCGTGGCTCAAGAGTTGGGACTTCATCTTGTAATCGGAAGGTTGCCGGTTCGAGCCCCGGCTTGGACAGTCTCTGTCGTTGTGTCCTTGGGCGAGACACTTCACCCGTTGCCTACTGGTGGTGGTCAGAGGGCCCGGTGGCGCCAGTGTCCGGCAGCCTCGCCTCTGTCAGTGCGCCCCAGGGTGGCTGTGGCTACAATGTAGCTTGCCATCACCTGTGTGTGAATGGGTGGATGACTGGATGTGTAAAGCGCTTTGGGGTCCTTAGGGACTAGTAAAGCACTATACAAATACAGGCCACTTACCAAAAAAAGTAAAGCTGTAACACAAACTCCCTCCAAAAGCATTCACAATGAAGCAACTTTGTTTTCTATTGTGTGTTCATTTAAACTTTTTTATTTTTTTTTAAGTAAAGAGATTTATGTTCACTTTTAAAATGACACATTATAGATTTTCTCACAAACACATTTAAAATTTTTCTATACACGCTGAGAATCTTTTATAATGCTTGCATAAGGTTTCGTTTGTATAAAAGCAAATAATGTGAATTAGAAAAACCCTTTAGAAAAGTTAAGACTTAACAAAAAACAAAAAAACAACAACATTTAAGTCCACAGTTCTTGAATATCAGTGGATCCAGAAAGGTTCCCTGAGGAACGCCCTCAGGAAATTTTTCATTATAGAAACCTTAAACCTGCAAAGAATTTCTTAAGAGAATATACATTTTCTTGAGTCCATTAATAAAAAGAAAAACAAATACTTGAGATGAGAACGTAATCATTTTTTAAAAATTTTTTTTTAAGTATACCTAAAATTTCTGTCAGCTTCCTGCAGACAAATCTGCCAAATGACAAAGATAATTAAACCTTATATTAGATACTTCAAATGTATTTAAATCCATTAAATCTGTTATCAAAGTTAATTCTAAATCTATTTTAGGGGTGTAAAATAGATTTGACTGAAACCACAATTAGCTACAGTGGCCTGATCACTCGATCATGACTGGATCATGAGATGAAATGAATTACACTAAATGTGCTATGCTTCCAGTTCATTTATTACCTCAATGTTTAAACATCACAGCTTCCACAGTACGACAAGTTGGAACCATAATGCAATACTGGGGATGCTTCTATCCCGATTTCAGTTTCGGATTCAGAATTGTTCCACGTCAGGGTTCAAGTTTTTCTCTTTACTTTGTGTTTTTAGCACAAAGAATAAATCAAAGTGTTTACATTCTGAGCTATTACAAAAGGATGCAGCATATTTTCAGGTAGAGTAGCTTTTGAACTGCTTTCTGAAATCATAAAATCATAATCCTTGTACTAAAACACTGGTTAATCATTTCACTGTTTTTATTTGCCGTGTTCCCTCTGTTAAAAAGAAATGTGCATTTTTTTCTTCTTTTTAACACTTTCATGTCCCTGATAACGTTAGAAATGTATACAAATCTTAAGTTCTTTGAGAAAAGAACAAAAGATAAAAACATTTTTAGAAACCATATTATGCATACAAACCAAAATATCTAAAGAGGCACTAATGGCTCCTTAATTACAAATGGTGTTTTTACTAGAAAAATACTTCAACAATCATAAACGCTAAGGCTCTGATAATCCACTGATAAGTTTTGAAAATAAAAAAAACAAAAACAAAACAAAACAAGAAGTCTACTGAAAACAAAAACCAGCTTCATCTTCAGCAGATTCAGCATGCTATAATCTGTTATTTCAGATCAAAGCCCCAAAATAGAAGTTTTGCCTTAAATCTGGATGGTCAACACGTGAAACCTTTATTTTCAATGTTAAAAAAAAGAAGCAATGCTGAGAAATGTTTTAATTCAACACTAAACAGATCAAAAACCAGATCTATTTATTTCCATCATAATTTCATTCTTGGACTCTAGTAGTGTCCATTTCCATGACTGGCAGTTCAAAAGAATCCTTATTTATGTGATCCTGGGCCTTACTGATGAATTCATTCATCCTCCTAAAACAAGCCTTTTAAGCTCCTCCCCCTTTAAAGCCTGCCTCTTTTCAAATTCAGTGGGTAGAATATGTAGAAGAACCACAAGTAAAAGCATCCAAATCAACCCACAAATTGGCCATTTTTAATTATGAGCAACCACTGTTTAAACAGTAAATATGACAGGAAATTAATAAAAGGTCCTCTTTAAATATAACAGTTAAGCTGTATTTAAAATCTGTATATTATATATGATATGAGCGGCTAAATTATCTTCTCCTAAAAGCTTGAAGAGGTTATTATTGTACACTGTGACAGAAAATAAAATCTTCCACATTAGAATCACAGCTTCAACTTTGACATAAAACTAACTGGAAGATGGAAACTGACTTCTGTTGGTCAACTCAGAGTAACATTTGAGCTATTTTCATTGTTAGCTGTTGCCACCCAAAGTATTACGATTAAAAAAAATCCAAAGAAAAAGAAGATTAAAATGAAAACAAAACAACACTTGTAGCCATATTGCCCAGTTTCTGTAGTAAGAGTCACCCTAGCAGCTTAGGAGCTTTTGCATAATGTTTCATTAGTAAAAAAGGCACCAAATATTCATGACCTAGAAACTGGGTAAAAAAAAAAAAACTTGAAGAGCTCCGAGATGGTTCCCTGAGGAACGCCTTCAAAATATTTTTTTATATTTGAAGTTTCTGTCATGAAGCATTTTTTAAATAATCTTTAGAAAACCCTTTCCTCCTTACATGTGAAACATTCAATATGGGTAGGTGAGGAAGATCAGGTTATAAAATTAAAACTTTAAAGGGACAGTTCACCACAAATTCAAATCTCTATATTTGACCTCTCGCATGTAGTCCTCTGTATCCGTCTACAGACTGCTTTGGTTTGAGTTGTCCAAGTGAGATTTTTTTGTGCTGTTAAAAGTGCCAAAAACTACAGCAGAGAAGTCTATTTCCAGAAATCCTGACATAGTTATTCCAAAAGCAGTTCTGAGAAATAACAATTTTCTCTTTACCAAACTACACCCTGTATCACAACTCTTTCTTCACACTGCAATAAACAGGCTCCATCTACCTGTGATGAAGTTGAACAACAGAATCAAACATTAATTGAATCACCTTGGCTGAGCTACATTTAGCTTGCTGCGCTCTTCGTTTAGCTGTCAGGTGTAAACAGTGGTAGGAAAACAGTTCCGTAACAAGGTTTGCAGAGGTCTTTTTAGAGTAACTGGGCCACAACACAGGTGACATTTAGGTCTGTAACATAGACCAGAAGGCAAAAAAAAAAATATAGGTATCTGGATGAATTTACAGCACTACAGGCCAAAGGGAAAACATGGAAGCTGGAATGTTGCAGCAAACCAATCCTTCAAGCATCCATACATCTGCAGATAATTCTGCTAAATGATAGCAGCAATTTTAAAACTAACTCTGAGATGTAACTTTCCTTTATGATTAAAAATATATATATAAAAACTGTAACAGTTGCAGTGTTTTTTTCCCCCCGGGTGGGGCTTGTTTTCAGCTTGGTGTTGTCAAAAGGTTCCTTGACGACTTTAAAATCTTCAAATTTTCCATGACTGATAAATCAAACAGAAAATGAGCGATCAGTAGATTCCAGTATCAGGTTCATTAAGTGGAAAGCACTATGCCGGATTAGTTTTTTTCCTTGCTGTGGTGCTAGATTTTGAGATGAATTCCTCACCATCTTAACATGTTCGGTTAACTCCAACAGTCCACGATCTGCTGTTTTTATCCAGAACTATAAAATGATGTACTGCATTGCCTTTTATCAGGACCGTGAAACTTAAATGGATATTTAAAAGCAGAATATTAAAAACTCTTCCAGAAACCAGGTGAGAATAATTGTCTCATCTAATAAAATTCAAACTGAGCTTTTCCTCCTCAGTGACTGAGCAGTTTGAGTCGAGCCAGCCAGCCGCCGAGCAGCGACGTGGACTGTTTGTTTACACCCTTAGTGGGAGAGACAGCGGCAGAAGTGGAGGCAGAAGCCTTTTTGGACCCCACTTCCTGGTAAGGTATGGTGGCTGTGTTGTGCAGGTTGGCGTTAATGTAGCACTGGCTGCCCCTGATATGGTCGACGCCACGTACAGATGGGTGACCTCGGTACGGCAGAGGGAAACACGGCTCCTCCTCCGTGATAGTGCTAATGCCCTCATTACTCCGATACATGTGCAGGACGTCCTTACCTGTTAGAAGACAACAGGTTAATTATTTAATTATTCGGCTTGTTTCATTTTAGCTGCGAGACCTTTAAATGACGGCTTTCATGTTCCTAATTACGACAACCTTGTACCGAAGAAGAAAGGAGGTAGTCCTACATACTGGATTTACATGTGAGTGAAAAGACATAATAAGCAAGTCCTCCTCCCTAAACGAGCTTCTATCCTTCCATCCTCCCTGTTGAATCGTACAAAACAGCTAAAAGTAACAGTTGACTTGTTAAGTTGCAGGTCAAAGCAAGTAAGCAAGTCTTTTTAAAGAAACAGTTGAGATAAATCTGGACATGACGTTTCATGTTTCAATTGTTCATTTAAAAGAAAAGTAATAATGCAAACAAAGCAAAAAAAAAGAAAAAAAAAAAGAATATTTTTAGAAATAAATTCGACGCTGAACTTCTAAGGATGACTCCACTTTAAACCTCACAGGTTCATGCAGCAGTGTGTAAACTTCGCTCTTTTGTCGGCCTCGTGTTTGCCGTCAGTGGAAAACAGTCCACTTCTTCACGTGTCTTTATTTAACCGTTCATTAACTGCCTGTTATCTTGGACAAACTGCCAACATGCACCGTGCTCGTCAAGGTGAAGTGCTCTAACGCTCAGACTGAGCAGAGTATGAAATGAGTCGCGCAGATGCAGTGGCAGCTTTCGGGGTTAATGATTAACCAGGTAAAAATTCAAAGCACGCAGCCCATCCCTGCTACAGTCTGTCCTTGCCTTTTAATGAGTTAGACAGATGGCTATTACTAATAACTGTCAGATTACTGGCGCTCACTGAGTCTGGTCCAGCTGGACAGGTGGGACTTACCTTTCCTTCCCTGAGTACTGGGCCTGGAGAGCCGGTCAGACACGCCTGAAAATGCCTCCACAGGCATGGAGATGGGTCTGGGTTTACCTGCGAAGAGTCCAGAAAGAGCAAAACATCAGCTCCATCTCAGAGACACTACTCCTCTACTTCCACCTCAGGCTGACACTTAGCCAGATATTAGAGCACAAACCAATATGGCCCATAAACAGCTAGCTGCAGTCAGTCTAACAGAAATGTTTTTGGGGTTTTTTCTTCTTGGGAGAATCAGGCTGTTTTCTAAATCAATGATTCATCTTTAAATCCCCAAAGAACCACTCCTGGCTTAAGGTGTCCTTGATTACTATGACCCAGTAAAGCTTCAAAATATAATACAATGCATTCAGGTTGCTTTGTGGTGACTCCAGAGACAAAGGTGGCACTATATCCCAGTGTTTCCAACCAAAACCAGAACAAAACGGCTCCAAACTCAGCGGGGAGGAATTACTGTTCATGAAATCAAGCCTTAAAGTCAACAGAAGCTCTCTGAGGATACACAGTCTTATTAGTAGAAACGCTTTGTTTGGTTTGATGGGGCTAGATTGGTCCAGACACATGACATCATCTGATCTGCTATTCTCTCACATGAAATCACAGGGACTGAACTACAGAACTGTCAGGTTAACCTCATGTGTGGACATTATATTTTAGTCTAGTCTCTTATACTGCCACTGTTCTATCGAAATGTAAAATGATTGTCCTCTTATGTGGATCTCATTTTCTCAGAAACAAAAATCAGGTAAAAAAAAAAAAAAAAAAAAACTTTTTAGGGAATTCTTTGTTTTTACGTTCGTCAGGTCCCAATCAGCCCAAATAGCAAAGACAAATTAAAAACGCATGCCATGAAAGAGTTTGGGTCTCAGGAGGTTAAAGGATTGTGAGGTTAAAGTGAGCCTCTGACAAAAGTTCAGGGCTGCTGTGCATGTGTGAGAACAGTCTATGCATCAAGCAAAAAAAACAAAAACAACAACTAAAAAAAACAGTTGATTGTGGTTTTATGTGCTTTCATTTCCTGTGGTACTGTAAGTGTTGTATAACTCATCATAACCCACATGTTTTTCCCCTCATTGTGGTGCTCTTATTTTGTCTTTGTGCTGTGATGACTGGCTGCTGGCTGTCGCTTCATATTTTGACCCTTGGGCATGGAATCACTCAGCCTATAAACTTAGTCTGGATATAAAACACTGGGACAGGACTAAACTTTTTCCTTCTTATTCAAAGTATAGTTTGAGCTTTGTTTTCATTGTTAGACTAAGCTCTAGAGCAGTGGTGGGCAACTCAAGGCCTTGAGGGCTGGTGTCCTGCAGGTTTTAGATGTGTCCTTGATCCAACACAGCTTATTCAAATGGCTAAATTACCTCTACAACATGTCTCGTAGTTCTCTGGAGGCCTGGTAATTAACTAATCATTTGATTCAGGTGTGTTTACCCAGGGTGAGATCTAAAAGGGCAGGGATAGCTCAGTAGGTAGAGTGGTGGCCCCATGATCGGAAGGTCGGGGGTTCGACTCCACTGAACGGCTACCCTGAGGTACCCCTGAGCAAGGTACCGTCCCCACACACTGCTCCCCGGGCGCTGCACTGCTTCACTGGGTGAATGGGTTAAATGCAGAGGAACTATTTCCCTATGGGGACTAACACATACACATTATACAAAACCTGCAGGACACCGGCCCTCGAGGCCTGGAGTTGCCCACCCCTGCTCTAGAGTAAGGTTAAGAGCCTTTGTGTCCTTACAGCGTGAGGAGGAGCGCTGCCTGAGGCGAACTGGGATAGGATGACTGGATTCAGGTGGAGGGACGACAGACGTCCGGTTTTCCTCTGCTACAGTGTAGCGCCGCTGCCGCACGTCTGCATCCAGATGCGAGTTTGGAGACTTGGGACGCATTTTCACACCTGCAAATACGCTTGTGTTCCCATCTCTGCCACAAGGAGCAGGAAACTCAGCATTACAGGCATAAAAAAGAAAATAAATAAAGATGATTCTGAAATACTGAAGCTTGAGTGAGGTACTTACAGCGGGACATATGGCGCTTCTGGGGGAGGAGGGATATACAAATCCAAGATGGTCGTCTTCCCTCTCTTTCCAGGAGCATCTGAGGTTTCTGACTCTCGTGATTTATAGAGACTTGGCGCTCCCTGAGAGGTCTAATAAAGAAAAAAGACAAATTTAAGCCCTTTAATAAAGGAAACAAAAGAATCACATGTAACTAACACGTTTGGTTTGTCTCTTCTAATCTGTGTTTTTGGTTGCTTCTGTGTCTCAGCACACAACAGACGATGACTTTGTGAACTGCGTTTATCGTCAAACAAAAGCGAAAGTCGTTCCAGCTCAGAGGAGGCTTTTCTGTTTCCTTCCTCACTTTCAAGTTCTCACAAACACAGGAACTTCATTCAGCTCGTTTTCTGTTTCACCTGCACTTTGAAAAACACGTTTAAAGGACGTTTCAATGCAGCCACTTTTAACCATGCCAGACTTAATCCAGTCTGGCGATACTGTGAATGCTCCCAATTGTGAAAAATCCAACGAAAGACCAAAACAAGCAGAAACTGAGTGGTTTCATTACCACTTTTACACCCATTTACACACACATACACTTCCCTTAAAAGGGCTCATTTCATCGTTAAGTTCATTTCATTGATTGTACTATTTGTATTTCCTTCTGATATCTGTACCTGAGCTGAGGTGATGCAAAAATTTCCCCGTTGTGGGATCAATAAAGTCTTATCTTTATCTTGTCTTATCTTATTCAGTCAACCTCAGGATTGCTGCAGTATACCTGATGTTTACGAAGCAAATGTGATGAATCAGTTTTGAAATATGTAAAGACCCAGTAAGATGCTTCAATATAACTGCCAACATTTAAATGCCTAGGAGTGTTTAAATAAGGAGCAAGACATTTTTCTAAAGCCCTTTGATCAAACAAAAAACAGCATCATAATCAGCTGTATAATCAGCCCAGCATTAACAAACAGGCACATAATTTGACATGTTTCAGGTGTCGTAGTCACAAGCTACAGGTTTGTATTTGGTGTTTAAGACTTTGGTAGTTGCTGTTACTCATCAACAAATGAATTAAGGTGAATGTCACAACAGCAGTTGATATTAGCTCGTGGTATTTAACCTAAAACCTTTAACTGTTACATGTGAGTAGCCAAAACTGGAATAGCCAACCTTGTAAGGATGTGTTATTTCTTATTGTCGTGTACTTGGCGAACTGATCTGTAATTTTTCATGGGGCCACGTCGCTTGGACACCAGAGTTTGCACTAAGCTTAGTTGTAACATCTGTGTGTGACTCGGCTTTTTAGAAAATAATCATGAGTGGGTTTTAATGTTTGTTGCTGGGTGGGTGTGGCTCCAGTGGTGGAGCTCTTGTCTCACGAAATAAGAATAAGAGGTTCCATTAGTGACCCCGGTCTTTGCTACTTGATTCAGTCATCTGTTTTTAACACCAAGCTGACTGAGCTAACTTATTATTACTCATTCTAATAGTTTCAGGCTTGTCATTGTTCCCACTTCACAAAACAAAAGATAAACAAATGTAAGTGCAGGTGGCGTAACCTTTGAAGTGAATGGTGGGAGTGACGATGAGATAAGAGATCTCAGATCCGTTTTGAAAGACTGAGATTAGAGCCTGAGCTCATCAGCTGAGCTACCCAGCGCCTTTCTGGATTCCTATCTCCCCTAAACACACACATCCTGGACCCCTGTCAGCACAAAACCCCTGAAGGTGGTTTGGTGAATGCAGGATTGTCACATTGTGAACTAAAGTGTGAGTCAGCCACCGCAGATCTGACATCAACGCAGAGTTTTTCCTATCTTCCTTTTTTTCAGGAAAAGGGAAGAAGGGCTCCATTGTTTCACCCGCTCATCTCAGAGGAGCTGTAGACTGAGCGGCTGCTGCGTTTTCTGCTCGAATCAAAACCTCAAAGCTACGACAAAGACTGAAAACCACCACGTGCAGCTTGATTTTCTTACCGACACAGTCTGCTTCACTTTCATGCAGTGACGTCTGTCACAACACTACAGCTGCTGCAGGTTCAGGACCTGCGTCAACTACGCCTCACCTGGAAATTCTGCAGAAAGAATCCATTATCCTTCCACATTTACCGTTATTAACCAGAACTTTGTACACTCGTGCTTTTTCTTTCTTTCTTTTTCCCCCCCACAGGAAAAACTTTGACTTCTCTAAAATCGAAAATACAATCACTCCCAAATGTCCAGTTTGAACCAGGAAAAAGAACCTCTCCTCACTTCTTTTTCAGGGCCAGTAGATGAATCTGAAGGCCAAAGTGTCAATAAAGTTATGTAGAGCTATTTCAAACTATGTTTCTTAATGCCATTGTTTGTATTGACAACATATAAAGATGTAAGAAATGATATGGTGATTCTAAATATCACGTTATGTTGAGCTCTTCTTCAAGGTCAAATGTTCAGAAAATGTTGTATCTTTAAGATTTGCCCTTTACAAGCTCATTGTTTAATTTTAGAGGTTTACAAGAACATGTTTGCATGTTTTAATATCAGAAGAACAAAAAAAAAAAATCTTAACAAGGACGACTTCTTTGTTTTACAGTGAAGAGAAGTGTGTTAACAAGTAAAGGCTGGATTATAATCAGTCAGTTTTATTGGGTGAATTTGTGTCACTGTTTCAATCCTGACGACAAAAACAGGAAAGTGAATCATAAAAGCTTCATTGTGAATTTTGATGTTTTAAAATTCTGTTGTGCATCAGGAAAGCAAGAGAGAAGCAAACAGGTTTGAGTACGTGTTACGCCAAACACTGATTTATCTGTGGATGGGGAAATAAAACCTTCAGTTTCTCAGTGACTGAGTTCACAAAAATGTTTGTGTGTAAGAAAAAACACAGGTAATGTAGCGAATTTGAGATTTCAGGATATACAGACTACCTGCTCAATTCTGCTGCGAAGTTTTTCACTGATGAAAATTCTCTTTTCGTCCATACAAGCACACAAATAAACGCTCCTGAGACGGGGGCTGTTAGGACTGTTAATCTGCATTTCAGATTCATTTTGGGAAGTCCGAATACTGAGCTCATGTTACAGCGAAAAAGAGAAGCGAGAATACATTAGAAAAAAAAAAGGCTCCAGATCATGTTCAAGCGTTGCATTTTACACAGAACTTTAGGCCTGAATTCCTCATTTTTATTGTGCAGTCATCATGTTTTTGGTTTCATCAAATTATGTGGAACTTGTGGATAAAAAAGGTAGAAAAACTGCAACACAAGTACTTGTCCATTTCTACTCCAGCTTGGGATTTCCCACATCATTTGACCTCTCCACGACAGGAGAACAATCTGCCACCACAGAGGGCCTCCATCAGGAAGGATGAAAAGGAGGAGACAGTCCCTGGTGTTAGTCGTTTATTTTGCTGAGAAGCACTTCAGCACAATACAAGCGGCGGCTCACCTGCACAAGCGGCGGCCTCCAGCGCAGGTTTTTCAGTGGAGCCGGTGCGAAGCTGGCAGATGGTCCAGAGGGCCTCTTCTTCAGCATCAAGACAACACCTCCAGACTCCGCCCTCAACTTCCCCACCAGGTGCTTTAGCTGCCAGCCCACCTGGACCAACCAGAGCAAAAGTCAGAGAATTGCAGCCTCTAGAGAGCGCTAGCATGAGGAAAGACCTTAAACTTCACGACCCTGAACGTCAGCGTTTAATGAAGCATTTCACGTACTGTGAGCTGTGAACTGTTATGAAACCTGCGGAAACGGATCCAACTCTTATACTTGGCCTTGGTTTAGTACTGTCTGAAACAAGCTGTTTATTGGCTTACAGTCAGTTTCATGTAATTCACATCACATTTACACTTACATGATAATAAATATTTTATTAAGATCAATGCATTTGCATGATTGTAAAATCTATAAATCTCACTAATAATTATTTGGAGTATGTACATTTAATAAATATTGTGATATCTTCATTAGTGAAAAACATGTTAAAGCCAACTTCCTTCTGATTGGCTGCTCCTGCTAAAAATAAGCATATCTGAACTGTAGGTGGGTGGAGCTTGTGTTTTCTTCGCCTATCTGAAATGGTTCAGAGCAGTCTGAAGTCTGACCTTTTATTTCACAAGGCCACGTTTAACATTAGTGTTCACTGTTGTAGCACTAAATATATGACAGAAAGGAAAAAGTCCTGCATACTGAAAAGTCGCAACACTTCAGTTTATACATAAGACAAAATAAAGAAGATACAACTTGTCGCTTGAAAAAAAAAAAAAAAAAAAAAAAAAAAAGAGACAGCTGGACTTTGTGAAGTTTGTGAACATGTTTCACGTGTCATCCAGGAAGATTGTTATACAACTAATACCTGAGAATCCTCAGGTACTTGACACTACAGTCAAGTGTTGAAGCTACGTCCTGCCTCGCAGACGTGTGTGGGATCTCTCCATCTAAGAAAATGACTAAGGCCATTTCCCAAAATGATGAGAAACTTGTGGCTATTCGACTCACCACTGTCTGTTTGTTGACCTGAATGACTTCATCTCCAGCGTGAATCCTCTGGGTTTTATCTGCCGGAGACTGAACAGCACACAAAGAGAAGCGCAGAGTTTAACAGACTAACATTTCATTGACTGCATGTTTCCATGATCTCTGGTAGTGATGAAGACTTTCAGGAGAGATTTTTTAAGTCTATAAATGGCACATGAGCGGCGAAGAAGACCCAGAGGCTCACTCACGTTCTCTGTTGTTCCCGTGATGACGTGAAGCCCGTCGTAGGTGGATTTGATGTAAATCCCCTGAAAGATAAAACAGAACTTAAACATGGATCTTCTGCATAAATACACCTCCCACAGTTCCTCTGTAATTCCTCGCTGCAGCGGTGGCGATGGGGTTTTCCTTTCTGGACCTACATCTGTTTCTGTTTTTGATTCAACGCTGGTTGTGGTTCATGGCGTAGCACTAAAATACCTGTTAATGATTCTGAGGGGAAGTGGGGTCATATTGTGGGTTTTTCTTTTTACAGCAGTCAGTACTTATCGGACAGCGGCGTCCCGCTGACATAGCCCAACAGGGAAATGATCATTTCTGTCCCATTTGTGTATTTTATTTTTTTATTCTATGCCCTTTAAAAGAAAATCCTCACCAGTCCCTCCCCAGGCTTGACATTGGTGATGTGAACCTCCTCCAAACAGGACATTTCCCTTTTTGCGGGGTCAGAAGTCGCTTGGACAGTTTTCTCACAGATGCTGTTGAGCGCTCGGGACTGAAAAACAAGAAAATATATACAAATAGGTTCAGCTTGTCCAATGGATGGATACATGCAAGTGTTCACCCAGTTATCAGGCAACAATTGTATTACAGTGTGTTATTACACTGCTCACTCTTCTGTCCCATACTGTAACCCCAAAAATTATTTCAAAAGATATAAGAGTCTGATTCAGATTTTATACACTTTTATAAAACTGGAAGCCTTTTTGAAACCACAGGTGTCACCCACCTGGTAGTTATTAAAAAATGCCAGGGAAAACATTGTTATTTTGTATAATTAGCGGTTTATAATTATGCATATACGTGGTTTACATTGATTTTGTAAAGGTGTCATTCATTATGTAGGTGCGTATCTATGTAGGTTTGCGATTTATACACCTGGGCCTTTCCATCCTCAAAATGGGCCCGAGGTGGTGACTATGCACCTGACTGGTTTGTGTAAATATGAGTTAAAGTCTGTGTTGCCTTATTTAACACTAGTTTTTCATATTGCTGTTGTTGGTTAAACCCTACCCTGCTGTAGAACAAACATGCACATGTAAGAATAAATGTGCTGGTTTGGATTTCACAGTTGAAAGACTTGACAATAATTATCTTGTTTCCATGATCTAATCGAGAAAATTATTGGTTACCATTTTTTAAGTGGCATTTCTGATCCTTGAACTGCAAATACTGTTTTGACCATATGCAACAATGTCTAATTATATAAATAATAAAATAATACATTTCTGACTGCTAACCTTCTGGAATCAAACTCTACACACCAGCTTGTACACTGCTTGAGTTTCACGGTTACATTTTAAACGACATCAACTGCATATTTGATTTTATGACTTGTCTTGTGGTTACATTTTAGTGTTTTATAGCTTGTGTAATATCGTTGGACTGAAAACGAAACAAGGTACTTTTTGTCGTGCGTTTTCTCTCGAATAAAGAATAAAACATGATTCAAGACAGAAAGCCATTGGCAGCATGGTGGTCTTAGCTTACATCTCTCATGATGACTATAAAGTGCTCTAAATTTAGTCTGAAATGCTGAATCGCCTCCTGCACCAAATCTGCCTGATCCAAACCTCTGACCTTTCAGTGGAAAAGGGAAAGAAAACAACAGATGCAACAGGAGTTGGAAAAGCATCAAATAAAAGCTCCAAATACGGACGTGGGGACGGTGCTTGGTTTTGTTGTACGGGAGAAGAGCTTGATGCCTCTGCAGAACGAGAACAGCCTCATATTATCATCACAAATGACCAGACACCCAGGCCTGGAGCGCAGCACCGAGCCCGAGCTCATGGGAAGCAGAGAGCTGACCAGGAAAACACAAACCAGCAGGAAATTACAAGTAAACCAGGAAAACATGCTCCTCTGGGGATATAGCTGGTCAGCTTCCTGCTGTTTGTTTTTTTCCAAATATGGTGACTTTATTGCTCCCCTTACAAAGACAAAGTAAATTTGCTTCATAGATATTTATCCCATAAAGTACTGGAAATATTACTAAAAAAATAATGCAAAACCAATGTTATACTTCAGCAGTTTTTAAGACTAAATCTTTAGTTCATGAAAGACACTTTTATTCACATTATACTCGCCCATCTGTCTCCATGAGGATTAAAACAGTGTGTACATTAAACATCAGGTCCATTTCCAGCCACGTTCTGTTTACTGTAAGCTGAAGCTTTTCTGTCCACTTGTCACTATAAGCCAAGTTTGCCCAAGTTAACATCTTATAGATGTGACGAGTACAGAAAAAGTAGACTCAAAGCGCTTTTCCTGTGTAAGAAAACTCTGATTACTTACATATCAAATATCCTCTGACCACATGAATTTAAACAACGTGCATGTGTAAAATGAACATCCACTGCTGTAACAGTACAGCAGTGCTACTGTATAAAAAGAGGTCACATGACAAACTGGCTATGAGAAGGAAAGTGACTGAACTTCATCCAAGTGTGAATCCTGAAACAACAGGAAGTCTTATCTAAGACAGGAAGTGGATGTGCCTGAGCCACACACACACACACACACACACACACACACACACACACACACACACACACACACACACACACACACACACACCTATGTTCGAACAGAGGAAAGAAAAGCAAAAGCAGCACTCACCACTTCCAGAATCTTTTCCTCCATCTCATAAACTGTGCAGTCCTGGAATTACAGACATAAACACAGAGACTAAGAGATCTCACAAACATCTGTCCAACATCTGCTTTATTATCATCACTGTGAGAGAAAACAAAAAACAAAAAAATATCAGAGAAACAAGGCAGCCCCTGCCTTTGGTTTTTTTAATTGTATGCTTTTATTTTGAAGTGGCGTATGACACAAAAACAACTGATAAGAGTTGGGAAATTACCCATGCTGGTAAGGAAAACAGAGTCACATGATTAAACTATGTGACCCAATTTAGTATTGCTTCAAAAGCAAATACTGTTCACACTAAATTGAATTAGGTGTCAGGATGGACGAGAAGTTCATGAACACAGATCTGAAGTCTGGATGTCCTTGGTAATATTTCACGTTAGAAGACTGAATTTGTAAAATCTGATATCAAACAAAATCTCCATACAATGTCATTCAGTGATGGCAATCAATCAATGCTTCACCTCCTCTTCTTTAACTCCTATTCTTACTGTTTTCTGATCAATTTTCTAATATTGTAATTTTTTAATCATTTGCTAAATAAGACTTTTTCCACACAACATTCTGGTGCCAAACAACTACAGCTGTGTTTTGTATGGGGTCTCGCCTTGACAGTCATACCTTTACAGTTAGTTATGGAAGAGAATTAAAAGTCATGACGACAGTAAATTTATTTTTATGTTGTTCTGTATTTGGAAAGAACTTTCAGGCTAATATCGTGTTACTGTACAGCAGACAGAATATTTTCATCTTGATGGTTAAAGAAGTTTTTTGTTTCAGAAAACAGATGCAGTGGAGCATTTTCACATCTGGGGAAAAGGAGAACTTGCTCATATCAAATTTGGCAGGTTTTCCATTCAGAAGCCAGAACTGTGAGTGTGGCAAACAAACACGGGAAAGGAGAAAGGGAATCAGCGGCAAAACAAATATTTGAGAAATGACAGCCTACAGGAGAGTGAAACCAGGAGGCAGGGACGGTGAACGCCTCCCAGAGACACCGAGAGGATTCCTGCTGCGGTCGGAGAAATAACAGTTCCCCGTAAACACGCTGACAGGATGATTGCATGACAGCGCAGCAGGGCGACGCCTCAGAAGGCTCTGCAGACACATGCAGGGAGGTGGCATGCTGCAGAAAACTTCCAAGTGCACATCCGCTTCTGAATACTTCAATAAATGAAGAGAAATCCAGCTTATTGCAAAATGTGAAGCTCTGAAACAAACTTTTGCCGTCCCTAAAGGAAATTATAAAGTTCTAAACTAATGAAACGTCTGGCTGATTTGCAGCTGAAGTATTCTGCCGTTGCATAAAACATGTCTGTACGCCTCAGCTGCATTAATATGCATCATGTTTGAACTTCTCACACAATTAGTTCCCTCATATTTTGTCGTGTGACAGCACGACTGCCTCAGGTAGACTCTGCAACGATGTAAAGGGTTACATACAATTCATCATTGATTCATGACTTTATGCTTGGTTGCACAAGACTTTGTATAGAATAGATCCTTAAGCTGTGGATTTAGCATTAACAGAGCTGAGAAAACCTGATTTTTTTCACTTTTCTTTATGGGATAACTGATAGCTGAGAAGGAGATGTGAAACAAACTGTTCTGTGACGCTAATTCCCCTCCTCATGGTAACTGTACAGTGAGGGAATTTTTTAAAAAGTCTCTTAATAGTTTATGCTTGTGTATAATTAGGGGCCTGTCACTTTAAATGACGGGTGAAAAGCACGTGAGTGGTTGTAGCCAGTCTCCGTTTGTTAGGCTTTACCTCAGCTAAACTTCCCAACTATGTTTTTGCTGTCAGTGCTTTTAGAGCATTTTAATGCAACTTTCTGACAAATATTATTCCTCTGTGTGGTAAAGACATTGAAATTAAGAGAAATTCGCAGGTTTTATAATCAAGCCAGCTAGCATTAGCTGATAACTTAGCTCCACTACCTCAACCAAATGGTCACTTCTGGCTCCAGTAAAGTGGACTACCAAAATATGAAAACTGAGGCTTCAAAATGTGTTCAAAAGCTGACATCAGGGGTATGTCCATCTTTTAAATACAGTCTATAGCTTAAGGAGCGTAAAACTGCTTAGATGACATGTTCTTTGGGCAGCAGCATTTTAGGATGGTGCATGAATATACGTCTTCACAGAATTGGGATGCTTCTTAATTATAAATGTAAAACTTTTAAAATGTATTCAGGACACGTACTTGACATTTCCCACTCTCCATGAACTGGTTTTGTTGAAGTTCCACATCTTGTGCTTTCATTTACATTTTAGTAATAATCTCAAAGTTTCTAAAGTATGAAACATGTAAGGATCTCAGCTATCGGAAGGAGATATGCCATCAAAATGACTGTGCTCATGTATACAGTAGTTATCTGGAGCTTCTTCATGATCATCACCACCAACAACAACAGATCCAGAAAATAAACATTTTAGTTCATGACCTCCTTCCTCTCTGATGTGTCTTTATGACAAGCTGCTGCACACAGAAAACATCAGAGATCTGTTTCTCTTTTAAGGTCTCATGTGGAGATTGTATTTCCAAGAGTGGATCTGTTAATCACTCAGGAAAGCACAGAAACACTGAAGAAAACACAGAGCGGCGTCTGAGCGTCACTGACCTTCTGGACGGTGGAGGTGAGCTCCAAACACAGCTGGATGATCTTGCCTTTGGTTGAGGTGAAGTCATTGGCACTCGACAGAGGAGTCCTAGCAAGAAGAGAGAAACTAAAATTATAGAATCATGTCAGTGCTGGCAGACAACAGGGCTGTGTTTTAAAACGGATTCAAAATACGAGCAGGGCCACAGACTATTCGGTCTCTTTATACACTACCTCTGATCTTTTACTGCTTCACACTGATCGGCCATGAACAGCCAATGGTAAGCAAGTGAAAAACAGTGAAAAAAAACAGCATGCAATGCTGAACACTTTAAAACACATTTTAAAAAAGGACAGAACATCAAAGAAATTAATGAAAATTTGACTTTCTGTAAGTTTTCATTAACTTCAGATCATAATAGCTGTTCCAACCCAAACATATCGAGTATGAAAATTTTTTGGATGAGATAACTGGATGGAGACTGAATAAAAAGCATTATGGGGCATCCATGTTTGTTTCCAGCTGCTGCAGCCAAGCTGGAATGTGTTTCAAGCTGATACAAGCTGCAAAAAAGCTGAAGGAGTCAAAGCGGCGATGCAGTAAACTGGAGCAGCGCTGCGAGGAAACACGATACTAAAATAATCAGAACGGAGGGGAGAGTACAACCGCTATCTTAGAAGGAACAAAGTTGTGCACTGAGCTGCACGTTATGAGTGAACTTCTGACTGACACGTTAATAAAAACAAATGCCATGTTAGTGAAAGTGTTGTGTGAGCAATTATGCAAGTACAGTTAAATTTACAAATTCAAAAGAAAGCCTGGATGAAAACATCAACTGTGACATCATGGTATCCAGTTTTATTTTTATGCTTTTTACGAGATCGCGGTTGTTTTAATGAGCAAATAATGTTTCGTTTTTAATACCAGGATACTCTGAATGCCGTCGTGGTTACCTGTCCAGCCAGGCCAGCAGATTCTTGGCGGTGCCGATCAGTTCGACCACGGCGGTGAGGAATTCATTGGTGGGCTGATTGGAATTTTTGCTGTGGTAGGCGGGGTTCTTCCTGCGCTGCGTCACGGCGCTGCTCAGGTTGTGGTGCGCTGTTCTCATCTTCCCCACCAAAGTCTTCAGGTTGTCCGACTCCACGCCATAGTTCTGTTAAAGAAAGATGAAAGATTCAGTGAAACAAACCTGCTTCTTACTCAATTATTAAACATAAAGACTACACTTCCCATCAGCACTGTCACTATTTCCTGGCTCACTAACCTTAGCACAAGTATGCTGCCACAGGAAACTCTGAAAGAGGCACTGCGGAAACGTTACACTGCACGAAGCTGCAGTTTGAGTAGTCCACATTGTATTTTGCACCTCAAAGTACTTTTTGTTTGAGAACACACAACAATGTTCAGGAATGATTGGAGGGAATTTAGAGATTCCCACGACCCTTGACCACAAACACACCCTGTCTCCCTAATGAAAACACACACACACAAAAACCCCACACACATTCCTGCAAACCAGTCGCCATAGCGATTATGCGACTTAAAAAAAAAAAAAAAAAAAAAAAAAAAAATTCCCCACCACATCAACGTCAAACTAAATGACTCATCAATGCCACGTGTTTAATTAATCAGTTTAATGAATCTGATACCTTTTTGTTTATTTTCATGAATAAGTGCAGATGTGTTACGTTTATGTGTTATTACATCTGCAGGTCTGAACACGACCTTTGATTCGCTTTGTCGCCTGCAGCGATTCAGATGTTTGAGGCGTCATGCAAACAAAACATCTGGAGCCAAATCGACGTTCCACCTTGACTGAACGCAGAAAACACATCCTTCATAACACAACATGACACCTGACCTCATGTTTCAGGCAGAACTTTCAAATCGTGTTAGAAAGGATGTGATCCCTAGGTGTCAATCAGAAAAGAGCTCAGGATGATGCTGGGCTGTGATGGAGTGAAACAAGGAGCATAACTATCAGAAGGTTTTTAGGAGGTTCAAGTATTTTAAAACTTTCAGAAAATGTCGGCACTGAAGTGAAAGATCTCTAGAAGTATTACAGATCAAACAAAATTTATAAGGTCTTCAAAAACAGAGAAAGTACCCAATCTGCACATTTGAACAAACTGAACCAACAAATTTTCATCATCTCACATAAATAGAAGCTTCTCTGGTAGCAGATTAATTGTGTCAGCTCCATTCTTTTCATATGGAGAGGCAAAACTGCCAAAAATCATAAAGAAGAGAGAGAACAACTATCTCACACAATCTGCACACAAAATCATTTATAAAATGCAACATTAACCAGAAATCTTGCCAACATCTGGATAAATTAATATGCCAAACACATCGAAATCTATAGAAAATGTTTACTGTAACTGTCAGTATAAAACAATGCTCGTTTCCTCTTTTCTTCCACATTATTATCCCCAGAGCATCATCTCTGTAATTTCTTTTTACGTCTGTTGTGGAACAGAGACAGCTGCCTCCAGTCAATCAGGAGACCTGAGCTGAAACAAAAACATCTTTTTCCCTCAACAGCGGTGAACCCAACTGCAGGCCTCCCTGATCATTGAGTGCATCATGATTGTTACACAAAATCTGGGTCATTAAGAGCCTGTGGCTGCCTAATGTCACTCCAATTATCAGAATAAGTCTGTGGTATGTACTGAGGGTTAAAGTCGGGAGAGAAAAGGCCTCTCTTGTTCTGTTAAATGAGCCTCAGTTGAAAACTGATCATGTGACAAGACGCTGGAACAAAACTCTTCCTCTACATGCTGAAAACTGTTTGAATGTGTGTGTGTGTGTGTGTGTCAGGGGAAGGGTGGGGGGGGGGGGGGGTCTCTGACAGGTGGGAGGGTCACATCTGTTTCCTGCTCCACCCCAAAATGCAGCAAACTCTGCCTCATGCTGCAAAAAATATCCACAACACATCATTTGACCTTGCTTGAATGCTGCAGGAAAACGCTCCCTGAAACTTTGGAGCTGTGTGTGCTCTGATCGCAGCATTGATTGGTTAGTTTCAGTGTGATGTCATAACTGTATTTTTCCAGAGGTAAGTGAAAGCATTTCAGGAAATGACACGTCGCTTGTGCCCGTCACATGGCTGAGGGAGGATGTGGGATACAGACTAAAGCTCTGAAATACGCTACTGTCAGGTTGTTCAGCCTTGCCTGGGGTCAGGAATCTAATAAAGATCAGCTAATTGCAAACACAAATACAGTATGAGGAGGGGTCTGACTAGCACTCTTTAAGTTGCCTTTCCTTATGACATTCCTAAAGACTGAATCATATGACAGACAAAGCCATTATGAACCAGAAGCAAATAAATTGTCATTTATTTGGGCAAATCCCCCACTGACTGTACTAACGATTCCACTGATTCAGTAAAGGACTAAATGTTACAATCCCGGACAATGCATTGCTTTTAATGTACAAAATCTTGAGGGATGGCTTGAGGGATCAGATATATATCGGATGACGATATAAAAACATCTATTGTTTCATTTTATGCTATCGTTTGTTTCGTGGTGTCGCAAAATAAACTGTTTACGGCAATATTTTTTCACCGTTTTGATGGTCACTGTAGTGGCTATATTAATTTCATAAATTTTTCTCTTTCTCCTATATTTTATATAACCACACTACGGACGGACAAGCGCCTGTTTTTTTATGCGTTGTGGTTAGGAACAACGACGGTAACGCCATCACATGTCCGCTTGTTTATGTTCCACATAAAGCTTTCTTTTTTTTTCTTTTTTTTTTCTTTTTTTTTCCGCCTGTCCCATTTGGTTCTTTAGCCATCAGAATTGTTGTCTGAAGACCAACAAGGATACCCAATGGATTTACTTTGCCAAATGGATCATCGTGGCATTGCCGTATTGGTCCATTTGGTCGATCTTTGTTTTTATTATTTATTATATTTTATTTTCAGATGTTACAGACGGGACAGACATGAGTGAGAGATAGGAAAGGGAGAAAGAAAGAGGAAGGAAAGGAAAAACAGAAGGGGAGAGGGACAGTGAGAAAGGGGGGGAGAAAAAAAAATAAAAAATCTCCTGGATCACCTGTTGAGAGAAGAATAGAAAACAAGCAAAAAAAGACAAAAAAAAAAACAAAAAACAAAGCAACATACTAAACACAACACCATCGCATTAATCTAGCTAAGTGTAAACAGCAGTAAATACTAAATATTCAATGTTGTTGTGCAGCACGCAGGACAGATGTGCTTCGAAGTAGCAGCCAAGAAAGGTGTAATTTGGGTCTACGAGCAGTGAACACCCGTGTGCATACCTGTGTGGATCAGCGCGCTTGTATTCCAAAGGTTTCTCCATGTAACGATCTGCTAGGGAGTGTGGGGGGGCCACAGCCCCGTCCTCCAGGGTGTGAAGCAGGTATGGAGGAGATCAAAACTCCAGACATCCAGAGGCCCCCAGAACACAAGAAACCATGGAAGACCAACAGAGGGGCAGCCGCGCCACTGTTCCAGTAAGAGCTGAGGAGAGTCCCAGATGAGGGTTCACTCAGCAGCCGCGGAGCAGAAGCCAGGGGGAGTTGCAGTGACGCGCCCGTGAGCTCCGCCGGCCGCCAGCTGTGCCTGAGTGACCGAGCCCCAGGCCGAGAGGCCGGGGGCACCCCACCCCCGAAGGGGCCCGAGCGAGCCCCAGGCTCCAGGCCCCGATAAGCGGCCGCCAAGGAGTGAGCCGGTGTGTACCTGGACGCCCACCCCCAGACACAAAGAACCACCAACGCACCGATGTCTGAGGGCGTCCACATAAAGCTTTCACAATAAAGCTCAAGATCCAGTTGAGACTTTTCTAAATAAACTAAATCACGTGAAAGAGCAGATTATTTACGGATGAGAAGTAAAAAAGAGCCGCCAGGTGCTAAAAAATAAACCTTAGACTCAAACGTTAGAACAGGCTTTTCCCTGCAGCACGCCGTGTAATAAATACTCAAAGAAAACGGCGGCCGTTACAACTTATGTCTAAAAATGTATAGTTTCATGCATCGGTTAAAACACTCGACTCCAGCTACATGACGCGCAGCTGGAAACACTTCCCGCAAGTCGAGCTGCCCGAGATTCACAGAATTTACAGAAAATGTTGCATTTTTGTGATTTATATCGTTATCGGATGATAGAATTCTTATATCGGGATATGAGATTTTGGTCATATCGCACAGCCCCAGCTGTTATGAGGAAAAGCCATATATATATAAAAATATATAAAAAAAGACTTTTCCCTGAAATGTTGGGAGTTTTAGGAATCTTCTCTTCAGCCAATGAAGTATTCTGTGTTTTAATGCTTTTCACATTTAAACAAACATTGAAAAGTTCAGTTACAGATGTCTGCGTGTAAATGTCATATTATCAGATAGCAGTCAGACAATCTGAACAACTATACTGGAGAAAAGTTGATATGGTGGACACAGTAATTTGTAGTTAGTGCGGTTGATAAGTGTCTGTTGTGGTCACTTGTTCTTTTATCGTCACCATTTGTTGGCGGGTACAGCAGAGTGTCAGTCTCCATTTAAAAAAAGCCACTGAATCCTATTCAGGCCAGTCACAACATTAAACCTCAGCACAGCCTGTAAATCCCCCTTTTCACCACCACACAGACGTTAGAGCCCATAAACAGCTGACTGAGGGGCTCTGTGTGTGCTTCAAAACTTTAAACGGGTCACACCAAAGTCTGCAGCCACTACACAGCTATTATGAAGCCTCAATGTTAGTTTTTCAGGGTCAGGTGATTCGCACATCCAGTCTGCCTTTTGCAAACCAACCTACCTGCTAGTTAACTCTACCTTTGTGTCTGGATATGGTTAACCAGCCTAAGCTGGAGTGACTTTCAGGATAATTTAATTTCAACATCACTACTACCCTTTCTGTTTTCCTTCCAATATTAACTCTATGATAGATGTTTCCTCTTATGACGTTCTCCATGCTGAGTCACCGGATCATTTACTCTTCTGTCGTCTCTTTGTTTCAATGTCCACGTGTCATCGGCTTAAGTCACTGGTTATTTCATTCATTACTGATTTTCATGCATAACTGATGTGCTTTTAAACAAAGATTTCTGCTCCCGTTTGACACCTTCTGGGCATTAAAAACATATCACACAGCTCTGTGTTTCACAGCGAAACAATTTTTTTAGAAATCATATAAATGTTTGCCGTTGATTTGTTTGAGTGAAAACAGGAATACTGAACTTTTTAGCCACGACCGACTAAACCAAAACTCAGTTCCACTAAAGGGCACAACAGGAGAATCACAACACAAACTACTGCTCAACTTTCATTCATTTGTGGCATTAAACCTAAAAAACCAAAGATAAACTCTGTAGTTTCCTAGAAAATCCCTCTCTTGCTCAGTTTTCAGACTTTCTGAGAAAAACTGTCCAAATATATCAGACGCAGTAGGATTCTGATCACAGCACTGGTCTTATGATTGTTATGATGAACACTGAGCTGTTTTAATGCCCCCTCAGGCAGCGTGTAATGTGCATGGTGGTAGCTGTGGTGCTGTTTTTAAATGCAACTGAAACATTTATTTAAAAGAAACAAATCTTTGCTCTAGAAACTTTTACACAAGGTTTACAGCACTGCCATCAGTGATGGACAGAAAAGGATCATCTTCTGCTCTGCTGCTGAACTTATAAGTATCAGCCAATGAGTCCAAGCAAAGATTCCCAAACCTCCCTCCTTCCTGGACTCTCCAGACTTTCCAAGGCATTTCCAGTCCTGAGCCTCCCCTGGAGTGGACTCCCTGGACAAGCCAGAAAAACATGACAAGTGGCCAAAAATGGATGGAAGCTCAAATTGAGATATCCCCTTTACTAACTGCTAACTCAGTTAACTCCAGTGCATGCATTCGCCTACAACATTTTTATGGTTTGTAACACAAGCCAGGTGTTTGTGTGGTCCAGACACCATCTCAGCAGAGTCTCACACGGAGAGAAGCTTTGGCAGTTTCTCATCAGCATCATTAGAAATTGTTTGATTGAACAAGAATTGGAGGTCAACACTGCTAAAGACATATCTCAAAGGACTTGAAACAGGTATATTTAACATGCTGACTCATGAGTGATGACAGCGGACACTGAAATCCACAGTTATATAGTAGAGGAACATTTCTAAACAGGAACGTTATCAGAAGTAAAAAGAGAATGTGGGATTTTCTGATTTCTAACTGACCAGAGCGCAGAGCAGATCCACCGCCTCCAGGATCAGCTCCTGGTGTCCAACCCTCGCCACGCCCAGAGACAGCAGCTCCTGGTGGGACATCCTGAGCAGCTTCTCCCCATCCACCTGCAGCTGTTGGAAGGATGGGATGTACTGCTGCAGGCTGTCATCCAGACCTGAGAGAGACAACGACAATGAAGCACATTTAATGTTCACAGAACAGGTTATTGATGAAATTCACCATTTTAATTCAGCAAAACTCAGGTTTGAAATTTGAGTAAACTGACAAATTCATCAGGGATGCAACACAATTAGTGTTTTATAACAGAAGTGCTTTTGATCGCTCACATTTCTAGGTTGTATATCATGGATCACCAATCAGCCTGGAGTTCTTAAGGCACACACATGCAAGTAAACCAGAGCATGACTTCAGCATCTGAGTTTCAGTGAAAGTCATCTCTCAATGATCCATTCAGGTCTTACAGCAAACAGCTGCTGAGTCAACATCGCCTTATTGACTCAATCAGTCACTGTGACAGCCAACAGCCTGGCAGCGTCCTGCCAGCTCACCAAACCACACCTTTTCTTAAATCCATCACCTCCGTCAACCAACCAACAAGCAAACTATTTTCGTCACCTAATAACAGACCAAGAAACACATTCCTGTATAAAGGAATACGTTTCTTTCAATAACTTACTGTCTGTTTGTTAGTCCTAGACTTTGTTTCAAGTATAATGTTTTTCTGATTTTATTTATCTAACTTTACCTGAGTAGCTAAAGATAGCTAGGACAATTTTAATTAGCCCCATTTAGTTTTTTAAAATCTCAGTCTCTCTGTTACAGTCGCCTCATTTTGTTGTTTCTTACAATCTCAACACTTCCTGTATATTTCAAATTGAAAGTCCTATAGCACTTGTAACTGTACAGAAACCCTTCACATCTTAATGAGGCTTTTATTGTGAAACATTTGCAGGAACAACACTCAAACTAATTTGATTTGAAGAAATACATTTGACAATTTAAGCAGTAGTTATTAATGCATGACTTACTCTATCACAACAGAGAATATGCGAGAAGAGAGCTTTACTGTGAAAGGAGGGAACAGGATGAGACCTTTTCCCCCCCACATGTGTAGAACAAATTGAATTTCTGGCATGAATCAATCCTTGACAGCCAACTCAACCACACGCGTGCATGTGAACATCGTCGGGGAGCTCACGTGTATTGAACTCGTAGCACTAATCCTCTGTACCATCATCACAAATCTACGGCTACTGTCACTTAAAATGCCAGAAATACTCAAATCATCAATCCATAAAGTGTTGGTTCATTTAACATTTAATAGCTCTGCCAGTAGTGGTTAATGCGCAGGTTTGCATGCTTAATGACATCTTTCTCTGGTGGCCCGGTATGGTCATACTGGGCACCCCACTTTCAGCCCCGTGACCTCATGAGACCTCAAGGGAGATGGCGCCCGTTTCAGCGGCGCCACTTTGCACCCAACATTCACCTCTGACCTCTGTGAACGAGTTCAAAGAGTTCTCTTAGCTGGATCAATAAAATGAGCAATCACGCACCAGTTACTGTCTGACACACATGAGCACAGACAAGGTTCGCTGCAGGGTTTTTGGATGTGTTTGGTTGGGAAGAATATGAAAAACTCAAAAAAATATATTAAGCATACGTGCACACATTGTACGCTAAAGAGAAGAACTGTCTACAGCAATTTAACAGTTCAACAGCCTCTACAACTCTCCGTTCTGCCAGCGTGAAATCCTCCATCTCAAAGTTCACTCCACAGCATTGTTTTTGTTCAAAACATTTCAACAAGTTCTTTTTCTTGATTTAAGTTCAGACTTGAATCCTGCATCATACTAAAAATAAATGTTAGAGTTTTAGCACACAAGCTTTCAACAAATGGCAGATGATGATGATGATGTTATGCAGAAGCCGAGCAGCAACTGGCCAACAAAATGTCTGGGAGGGTGAGAAGAAAACAACTGCCCCAGCATGTGGTCATTAAAGAAGCTGCGACTCCTGTTTGTGTTCAGGACGACAGATGGCCCACGCTTTCTCTCTGACAGCAGGGAGGAACATTCCTCTTAACTAACTGCTGACGGGACACCTCCGAGTTCAGCAGCCTCTGACACAGAGTTGCACCGAGAATACAAAGCGTGTTTGTTTGCTTACTGATAGTACAACGGTAAGATTCGATTAATTTTGGTCTTTATTATAAAAGGCCAGAATAAAGACTCACAGGATTTCAGCAAAGTTTGAGGGGGTGAAATTGTCTGGGAAGCACTCCAAATCAGGCCCCAGCAGGAGGATACGGGTCGTCTGCTCATCCCCCAACAGGGTAAAATTTAGACCATCTGGGATGGGCAACACTTCAGGACATTCTCAGAGGGCCAGACTTTAAACAACGGATTTAAACATGCATTGTCTTTTGATCCCCTTCCTATCATTTTGAAAGTTAAGCACTTAGTACTGAGCTTTCCTCATAGAGTGATCTGGTCACCACTCTCATCCTGCAGAATGACAGACTCCAACTCCAGCTTCTTGGACTGCACCCAGCAGTCCTGCATCTGATTTGAAGATCTGCTTCCAGAACCTGCTGCAGGTGGAGAGCTGAATGAGTCCCAAACAGCAGCTTCAGATTGTGGATGGGATGAGAAAGTCACTGAAAGACAGTGATACTGATACTGCTTCTTTATTGTCACAAAATATATTTAGTTTAATTTGAGGTGGTAATTAGCAATGGATCAGTTCATGATAAACAAGAACAAGTTTGAGATCCCTCCATTAAAGCAAGTAAATTAAACTTTAATTAAAAATTCTCCATTCATCAAACTAAAAGAAAACGAGATACTACTGTGAAAGCCTTGAACTCCTATATCTTCACACATTCATTTTGGTTTCTGCTCCAGTTCAGTTGCTCCTGAAAGTTTCTCAATACACCCAAATTGAAACTGTGACCATACTCCCAAACCTTCCTCAGGTAAATATCCACAATTCCTGCTCCTTCTAGGTTGTAGCGCATCTCCACACTTCAAACTAAACTCCCTCTGCTGTTGGTCAGAGCTGGACAGCAGTTTGCAGTCAGCAGGAATGTGTTGGTGACAGCCTGGATCACATTACTGTCACCCGAGGAGGCCGATAATCTCTCAGCTGCACAGCAGGGTCGGCTAAACGTCACACGGGAGCCAAATCGCCTGCTAATGAAAGCATGATAACAAAAGACTGAGTCTCCCTGAAAAGCAGAGACAACTACCATCATAACATAAGCAAACAGGAGTTTCTGCTAAGCTTCTACACTTGATTCTTCCTGTGATGCAGAAACATCCTGCTCAGATGGGAAACGTTCGATAGATTCAGGTCTGAAAACCAATGGCTTAGACAGTTTGCTCAAATTATGGGAGATTAACAAGTTAAATAAAGTAGATAAAAGAATAAAAACTCAAGTCCAACATTCAGGTCTGGATCCAATGTTCCAGCAATACATAAAACCTCATTAATTTCTGTAGCTGCTGAGTCATTTTTATCATTCCTCATCTCGATGATTGCTCTGTCGGGTTTGGCGCTCGGCCCAAACTCTCGGAAAGCCGTTTCAAACCTCTGACAGGCGCCGAGGATCGAGCTGGATTACCACACTGTAACACTGCTGAGAGCCTTGTGTTGGCGGTTTAGTTGTTTGGTTTGTGAGATGCTTCTCAAGCAGCACGAATAATTAAACACAGCAGATGGTATCTGTGTGAACCTTTTCTGTCCATAGCACCACAAGAAACACTTACTTTAGGAAGAGCTGGAGAGAAGCCCTCATTTATTGAGCAAATATGGTCTGAAACAGTAGGGTTATCTCTTGGGATAAAACTGAACCACAGAGGTCCATTCAGATCATCTTGGTTGTCCCCTTTGGTACAAAATGTTTGATAATTATTGCTTTAACATGATCAGCTGCATAGGTGGGGAAAAAGCAACTGTATCTGCACTTATGTTTTTAGTTCATCTAATTTGTACAGACTTGTAATGTGAATGTTTCACAGTGTACTCTGAGCTCAGGTTCAGACTGATGAAATATTCATAGCCTGTTTCAGAGGATTGATTTCCAAACAGGTGAGAGGAAGGAGGAGGGACAACAACGCTGGGAGCAGATCAGCTGCTTCATTCACCGACATTTATAGACAAACTGCCAGTGACTCACAGTTCCAAGTCCATCCGAGGCCATGGAACACCTTTTCAAAAGACGTGAAGAAACAGTGCACGTATCGAAGGGCATTTCCTCGATGCCCATCGATACGTCCAGTGTCAGCTAGACCTGTGTCGCATCATATCGTCTGAGATAATAGATAATTCATTTTTAAATGATATAAAATATCATATTGTGGTATGATTGCTATAGCAACTCCATGAGCTTGTGTTCCCTGTGCACACAACAATAAAAAGAGCCCAGGCATGTCTGAGAGGAAGCCTCCAGTATTTGTTTAATGCTGCAGAATCGACTGCAGAACATCCCAGGAAGAAAATATTTTCAAGGTCAAGTTATTTTAGTCATTGTAAAACAAGTGTGAAGCCAGTTATGTTGTACTTAACATTTCCAGGGAAAATACTGTCCACGCTACTTTTGTGCTTACCCATGCAGTCTTATTTCACCTTTTTCATCGGAAAAAGATAAGACATAAATACTGCATACAATGAACACAGTTTTACTGAGTGTTTAGTATTTTTGTCTGTATCATCAGAAATGCTGTTATTGCAAGTGTTCTTTAAATATACTGTCAACAAAAGAAAACTGTTTTTAACTTTCAGTTTTTAACCTCTGATTTTAAACTTACCTGCTCCGAGTTCACTGCCATCACAGCACAGTTAAAATGAGAGAACCATCTCAGTATTTCCGTTGAAACTTTCGTGTTTGTTGACAGAATAAATTCGGCTTGACATGAAAGGCCACTAGAGAGCAAAGTGCACAGACACTCTGAACTCTGACATGATTCCTGAATTCCTACATTCACTTTGTTTAGTGTATTTTGCTCTTTTGATGACCATACAGGGAGTGCAGAATTATTAGGCAAATGAGTATTTTGTCCACATCATCCTCTTCATGCATGTTGTCTTACTCCAAGCTGTATAGGCTCGAAAGCCTACTACCAATTAAGCATATTAGGTGATGTGCATCTC